AAAACAATGATGATGGGAATGTACTGATTTCTGCTTGATGTTTCAAAGGCTTCTAGAAAGGTGGCAATAGATGTCCCAAATAAATTTCTAACATTTGATTTATTTCCCTAATTCTTAATTTTATAGTTTTCAGCTCGATGTTGGTAACAGTCAGGGTCAGCTAGCAATGACTAAATCTACCCTTAAGCATACATCTTTGGAACTTAAAGAATGAATGAAAGGGGGGAAAGTCACTTTCTAACTTCTCATCCAGCCCCTTCCCCAAGGAGGGACAATTAATATGGCATGTAATGTTTAAAGAAAACAGGAGATTTGTTCATTCTGGAAAACAATGCTCATTATGTGACAATAAACTTTATCTCAGTGTGACTTTGGTGCCAACAACGTTATTATGTTCTAGACAACTCTGTGGAGGCACATGCTGTGGGCAAGTGGGGCCCTCCAAGATGTTAGGAGTAAAAGGCATGCTGCTGTTTATTTTTCAAGATGGAATAGAACGGATCCCTTTGACCTTGCAGGGGGAGGGGCGGAGGATGTCATCCAGAACTCTAAATTGGGTTGGCATTTTCAGACCATGCCTGGAGACTTTCCGCTTCTTCACACAGTGCAGTCCTCTTGTGTGTCCTCTGATGGAAACTTCTGCATGTGCACTGCATACTAGCTGTGAAGTCTTTCAGGGACAGCTATTGTGACCATACCCAAAGGGGAACAACAACAACAAAAACCCCACAAATTTTATTTTAATTAAAATAACTTATGTAGATCTAGGGCTTACTTTTTATCACATACTGCAGCCTTCCTTCCTTGATTCAAGGCACTTTTTATTGAGTCCATCTTTCCCCCTAACCATTTTTCTTTGTCTTAGGACTATTAAATGACACTAGCCATCCAATTCAATCCATCCATCCATCCAACTCACTTCACAAGTCATTGTGACTAAGCAAAGCTTACTATTTATTCATAGGACACCAACAGACTTAAACTCTGCCCCAAGAGAGAATACTTCCATGAGTGACTAGGAGCCCTGACACCCTTTACCCCTGTGAATGGTGAGGAAGAAGCAAGGGCAGAGAAAGTCTGAGATTCTCTCACTACGGTTCCCTCTCACTCAGCGAGGATAACATGGGTTAACTGGGGGTGCCACCTGGTTACACGGGGATCGGGCGAACCATTCATAACAAGCCCTTGCTGACTGCTGATTTTTCTCCCAACACTGTTCTTTTGTATGTGTGCAGAGACAGCCCATACAGGCTCATGAATGTCAAACTCCAAGAAACAGAAGAAAAACACAGCAAGATAAGAGAGAGGGAGAGGGGTGGTATAAGACAGTGGCTCTTTCCAGTAATATGGTGAGGTGACATTTGAAATAAGACCACCCAGAAGGACCAGAGTGGAAAGCAATAAGGGAAAGATACCAAGAATTTATTTAAATAAAACCATCCCTCAGGCCCATTAGTTCTTTTTATAAGTAAAATATAGAAGTTATGTCGACGAATAAAAATCTGATTTGCTTGTTTAGTCCTCCTTCTTATGATTACTGTAGACTCACTGGCAGTTGACCCTGAAGAAAAGCCATGTGTGACCTCTGGGTTAGCATTTTTATTCCTGGTCATATTGTCCACCCACCCTCAGTAAACAAAACAGAAGCCACTTACAGAAGGACCTGTGAGGACATGTCCCAGGACATCTGTGATGGCTATTGGCGGTGTAGGCAGTGGAGTCATCTACTGGCTTATCATTACAGGATCGGTAAGTAAAATACCTAAGACATCTCAGCTTGGCAGCCTATGCACCAGCTGGAGAGGACACAGGGTATGTATAGCATAAAGAAACGCTGTAAATGCTGAGTAAGGGATGAAGAATAAAACCTACTACACAGCATAGTATATGTACAAATGGAAGGCAACCCACAAAAGGACTCGAATCACTTTAGGCGAAGGGTGGGTGGTAATGGAGGTGGTTTCATTACTGTTACTCCATAATAACTCAACCCCCAATCACAGTAACTTGAAACAAGCATTTTATCACCTCTTGTGTTAAGTGTTCAGCTGGCTGACACTGGCTTACAGTCAAAGCAGTTACTTAGACTTGTTTAGTGAAAATGGGCCAGGGTCACTCTGGGCTGGTTGGGAACCTCAAGACTTCTCTTCACAGGCTGGCTTGTACTTTTTTACATGGTAGCCTGGCAGCAGCCAACACTACAGTGATCTTGGCTCCTGTAAGAAAGCCACATCCTATCTCCTGTTAGGTGAAGCCATGTTCTTGGAGAATATACAGCATGAGAGATTTCTGTCATCGTCTTCAAAATACAACATGCCTGTCTAATCTGTGGCAAGAGCTCACATCCCAGATTCCATGTGAAATGTGTCTCCCAAGAATCTGTAAGTTTCTTGCCATGACTCTGGGATCAGGCTTGAGGCTTCTCACGTACAGCACACTGAGTACCATTCTTGACCCTAAGTCCCCCATATGAACTGGGTAATTATCTCCCCTTGCACACATTAAATGGTGAGCTAGGCTTAGAACCACTGCAATACACACTTCGAGTCGGAGAGAAAAGGCACACAGCTTTTCTAATCAACAGCAACTCTACAGTGTGGTGGGGTACATCTTATAAGCTTCTCGATGGGGGACTCTAGCTTATTGTCTACATGTACAATCTTAGAGCTACCAAGACCTTAGACATAGTTCTTTTAAACACTTTTTAAATCTTCTGTATGTTTTGCCTACATATGTTGTAGGGGCCAGGTGTTGAGTCCCCCAGAACTGGAGTTATAAGCAGTTGTGAGTTGTTATGAGGGTGCTGGGAACTAAACTCAGGTCGTCTTAAATGCTGAAGGCTTTGAACAGCTGCAGGGTGGAAGGCACAAACCTGTTTCATCTGCCCTGCCCCAGTTGAGTTTATTAACTTATAAATCCACTGTCTCAAAGTGGTTCATCCTGAAACTGGTATAGAATAAAACCCCCTAATAGAATTAGCAATCCTACTGTTTAAGGGGAAAGACCCATGAAGCCCTTAGAAGCATTTTGTCTGCAAAGGTCAACACCCACCTTAAATCTTTCTGTGCCCTAACAAGAGCATTGTACTCTTACCCTGGATTTTTAAATTTTTCTTTTCCAAGTTGAAACCACAGTGCCATTTTATTAACAGCTTACTTTGTCAGTTCAAGCTTAGGCCTTTGGGGGCCCTGCGGCCAGTTTTTGTTCCTTTTGAGTAGGCCTGACAATGTGGGATTGGTTTTTGCACTGAAGCCTTTTTCTGAATTTGAAAAGCAGTCAGCATCTGGCAGGAATGAGACAAACATGGTTCCTCAGATGTCATTGCTTATCCTTATCTTGTTGCTCTCACATCTTATTACATGCACCAGAGCATGGCCAGAAGGTTTAGACATTCTAGTTTACTGTGTGCCTTTTCCTGTTTCCCAGGTTAGTGCACTTTCCTCCGTGTAAGATGGATCCTAATCTTGGCACCTATAATTCAGTGTTCCTCACCACAAGCATCCATAGGACTATGTGGGTTTCTGCCAATAGCTTTTCCAAGGCCATTTGGATTAGTGGCATTTCCTGTTCAGTATTGTACAGATTTTAGATTGTTTTATTTTACATTTACTTTCAAGTATCAAGATCTGCTCCTTTAGCTATTAAAAGGAACAACTCCATTATCTTAAAAGTCTTTATATTCTCTCCTGTCCCTTAACTACACAACTCATTTGTGTTATTCTTGCTTGGAATCTCTACTATGAAGACACAGGCTTTGAACATCTGCAGGGTGGACAGCACAATACCTCTTTCCAGCAGTATCAAGGCTTCCACACATAAGCAATTTCAGTTTCTTCCAGTGCAGCCTTGAGGAGGAGCTCAGTCCCAGCAAGCCTAGGGGATCCACTGAATATCTTGAATATTCAGAGGAGTTTCACTTCTTTTCATTGCCTATTCAGATCTAGCCTGGCAAACTACATAATTTTACCAGATCCCATTAGTTATACCCTAGCCAGAGCAAGGAGGGTCTCCACAAAGCAAGGTCCTGGAACATGGGAGGGATTTACTGTGGTTGGCCATCTGTGGAAGATACTGTCTGCTAGTGGGCATGAACAGGAAATAGGGTAGCACTGCATAAATAATGCTGAAAGCAAATCCATGAACTGAGATGTAGATTTAAGTCAAGCCTCTGCAACTGAGTTCTGCTAAAGCAGTCACACCTCAGCAACCAGGATCATGACTTCCTTTATGTCCTTTACTTCAGAAAGAGGTTGGTAGCTTCAAGGATACAACCCCAATCCCTGAAAACATAGCTTTCTTCCAGTAGGTTCCAGCACTACCCATTAACACTAGAGGCTAGAAACCATGTATTTATCACATAGGACTTCCAGGGACACGAACAACAGCTATGTGTTGTAAATTTATTAACTGCCTCAACAAATTTAGCAATAGCTGTAAATGTATTAACTAGTTACTGATATGACCAGAATTCTGTCTTGGGATAAAGACTTAATCTCTAGTCCTACATCTAATTTGCACTTAGCCATGAATGAATGAATGAATGAATGAATAAATGAATGAATGAATAGGGATGCCTTGCTATGTAGCTATCCTAGTTTACTTTCATATATGAGCCACTGCCCTATTTTTTGCAGACTTTAAGCATTTGTCTCCATATACAAATACTCCAGACATCATAAAGCCAGCCCTGCCATACACGAAAGGGAATGAAAGAAATAAAAACTTGGAAAATATTTAAAATAAGTTGCTTACTAATTTTGTAACTATTCTTATACTTTAACTTACTAAAACTCAGTACACTTAACATTCTGTGAATGATTCTAATCATTTCCTGAGAAAAAACACTGAGTATGTAAGTTTATAAATCCAAACCTGTCTTAGGGTCTCTAGGGACTTTAGAGCTACTGAATGACACGTATATATAAATCACTGTTCATGAAGAGGCCCAAGTTAGTCAATTACTCCTTGTCCCAATTCACAAAAGCATGACCTTAATACATATAAATTTTAAGTTTTATTTTTAGAAGTTACACATACTTAAAAGAACAATAGCTTTTCAAAAATTTTTCCAATCGATGTTATTACTACTTAGAACATTAGATGAAGATGTCACTTATGATTGAAACCAAAATTTTATGAGGCCCAACCAATGTGCTGTCTTCAGCAGGAGCTCAGGATCTAAGGATTGCATTTCCCATAATGCATTGTCTTCTGCAGGAGATGCTCAGGGTATGAGGGTTGCATTAGAAGCACACTTAAAACTAACACAAAAACTCAAGACACTGAACTCCTTAGCTAATTAAAATTAATGCACTGGTAAATTCCACCTTCATTTTACTTGAAAAAGTGTATGTATGTTAAAATAGTTCTGATATAAATGAGTTATACTGCTTATGGTTGGTGGGGGAAGTTTAAAATACCCAGCAGTTTCCTCTTTTTATATTCTTAGACTAGAAAATGCTTTTAGATTTTTGGCAACTGTTTTAAGAATACATTCTCTTCCCCACCAAAACAAAATCCAGTTTTTGTCAATAACTATAGAAGTATGCTTGCTTTTAAAAATAGTACTTTCTTAAAATACTTCCTTTTCAGGTTCATAAATATGTATTTTAATTTATTGCTGGTAATAAAAGGAATGCATCTTGCTACTATTAAATGTCTAAGGTTAGCCCTAATCCTAGAACACAGGCACTAGAACACTCATGTTTTCTTTAAAAACAAAAAATCGTGAATACCATTTTTTACAGTAAACTGATCATTGTAGAAACCTTTTAATGTCTCTAGAAGCAGGGTGTGTCATGTCATCTTACCATTAAGTGTAGATTTTGTCTCATGTAGCCATTAGCTCCTCTGCCTGATAACAGGCACTCACCTTTTCCCAGCCCTGCTTTACCACTAAGCTGTATTCTCAGGCCTCAATTTCACTTTGCGTCAGAGGCTAAGCTGCCCAGGCTGGCCTTGAACTCACTCCATAACCCAGGCAGGACTAGAACTTGTAATCCTCTTCCATCTGCCTCCCCTAGTGGCTGTACCACCAAAAACAGGATTTTTACACTAGGCCACCATCATGCTACTGGTTAAACAGGAAACTGTCACAGCTGTGACATGCTCTTCCTTGGGTGGAGGGCTATTAAAGCACAAAGGAGAAAACACTGTCGGAGTTGGCAGTGCTTCAGGACCACAGGAAAGTATTTAATGAAGACCATCTTAAAACTGATAAAATATAGTGATTAAAAACTGTATCCAAAATCTACAGTTGTACCCTAGGGTTAAAAACCAATAGAAAGCAAAGATTTTGCCCAGTATAATCAGTCTTAAGTAGTCTCTAGTACTTAAAACATCAGTATGTGCCGTGTAAGCAGTTCCTGTATACTGCATCCACCGATTCCACACAGAAATCCCTCTTTCCACAGACATTTGTTAATCTTTAAGCCAAACTGTAACAACCTGGAGAAGCAAAACTAAACATCAGGTGCTCAAACTTTTATTTTAATTCTTACAAAATACTATAGAAATGAACCCAAAATGAACAGATATGTACATGTGCATATGTACAAAATTTTACTCCTGAAAAAATTTATAAAAGTGGATGGTAAAAACAAACAAAACACAGAAACTCCAAAGCAAACAAACATAAAAAGATTTAAAACCAGTATTATGAAATTGGTTTTCACAGGAAAAGCCATAGTAATTTTAAACTATTGGCAGTAGCTGGTTTTCTAGGCTTATTTACACAATTGATGGGTAATATCAAAGGAGCTTCTTTATTTCAGAATAACTCTAGTCTTCTAGTCTCACTTTATTTATTTCATCCACCAGTCCAGACTATTCCCCCTCACAATCTTACAGCACGAGGGCAAGGCACTAAGCTGTCAACTTGCGTTGTCATCTTCCTCTTGAGTTACAGGTCGGAAGGGCAACGTGGTTTGCCCTCTTTCAGGGTCAGACATTCGAAGAATTCTAATCAGTTTACTTGAAGGAAGTGAGCTAAAGGAAGCAAAAGTAATCACTCAATTTCCAAATAAAGTTTTTACTCATTCAATACTTCCCTAGTATTCACTAACACTAGGTTCAATTCCCAACAATATGAGAAATCAATAAATTAAAAAACTTCCTGCTATATCCTATCTATTTTCAATTTCTATGAAAAGAATTTTTTTTTTTTTTTTTTTTTTTTTTTTTTTTATATGTCAGCTACTTTACACTGTTGTTCTTGTCTGGAGTTTCCTGGATATTCCAAATCAAACTGGCACAGGATCATGGGACTACTTTGAAACAGGAGATCAAAGGCAAAGGATGGTAACACAGCAGAGCTCTTTCTAAGACTCCTGTTTTTAAGTAGCCAAGGACAAAGAAGGGATCTTAAACTGTTTCTTTGTTTTACACAAAATTACTAAAATCACTTATTATCTGTTGGCCAAGAAAACCACAAAGGAACAAATTCAAAATATAAAGAAGTCAAAATACATTCTAGTCCATTTGTTTCTTAAAGAAGATATATGACATGAATGGAAGTTTAAGCATCTAGGAAAGTAGAAGACATCTTAAATCTGCAAGAAGGCAGACTAATCAACCTCCATCCCTTATCCCATCATTTTTGCATTTAACAATTTAAAACCATGCTCCTGGCTGCTTTCATTCACTCACCATGCTTTGCCTATCTGGGATTTTTGTATGTGTACATGCATGTGTGAGCCTCCCATGTAGAAGATTTCTTTCCCCTGGTAAATTCCTTTGAGAGGAAGACCCACTGTGCCTCAGCCACACTGAGCTCAGAATGCTGGCTGTGTGCTGGATGGTATGCCAGCAGCAGGGTACACAGGAGAATGAGAAACCTCCATCTGATAAGTTTGGCTTTAGGACCTTGTACGTATAGGGTAGGGTTTAAGTTATGTTATGTCCCTTCTATACATGTGATCAAAATATATAAAATTATGTGTGTGTGCTCACAGAAAGTTTTAAGAAGTTACCTCATGCTTTGAGGGGTAAGCAAGATAAACTGTCTAAAACGTTGGGAATCTGCCATCTTAAGTATCATGTCCATTGCAATTCTTCTATTAACCATATCCTGAAGAGGAAAGATAAAAGTTAAGATTGGTTTTGCATCTGTTATTTCTATAAAAGCAGTATTCTTTTGGCTAAAACAAACTACAGTTTTATTCATTATATATGATGCCAAGTAGTTCCATCTTGAAAAAGTAGTATCAGAAATTATAAGGGGAAAGCAACTGAATATTCTCCCAAGCAACTTCTATGTTCTTCTCTTTCAAATATAAGTAACACTTAAAATAATAAGAAAATATTCCAATGATATACTATTACAGAACGAATCTGTAAGTACACAGATAATTAATTGCTCAGGATAAAAATAAAAAATTTGCCTGGTTTTAAATTTATCAAGTGTCTCAGAATTTAGAAAGCATGGCAGTCACAAGGCATCATAAGAAAAGCATCATTGAAAGATAAGCACAGTTTAAGAATGAAAATACAGGGGCACAGTACTTACAAAATTACAAACAACTCAGTACAGCTAAAATTTCTGGCAGATACTACACCATTAAGGACCTCAATGTTACCTTAAAAAAGTAAATACTTTATATGTAACCACCTAGGGGTTTTAAAAGGTCTGTTTTTATAAACCAACACCTTTCTAAGTCATGTGGAGGGATGGGCTGCAGATAAGAAACAGCAAGACACCAGTCTGAAAGTCTAGCAAGAGGCAGCTGGAGGGAAAGGGACAAGAGGTAGCAGCATCACAGTGAGACAGGAGGAAGGGGTAGAACAATCAGAGAGGAGCAAAAAAGGCCAGGCAGCGTGTTAGTAAAAGGAAAGAGTTAATAAGATAACCACGGTTTTAAAGCTAGGTAACTAGGATGGCATTTGTAATTTGTCATTAACAAGGTAAAAAAATTTAGAAAAGAAAGATTATTTGAGGAAGATCCACTCAGTCTCAAACATACTGAACTTGGAATGTTGACAGTTTACTGGATGGTGGAATGTGTAGTCTGGCACACAGGTCTAGGCTACAAACCAGATTATCAGGACAGAAGACCTCCATGAAGTAGGTCTATAAGCATATAGTGGCTTTGGTGCCTGTAGGGAGGAATGTATATCACTTCTACACATATGTGACCAGGAAAACAAAAATACTGTAAAAAGCAAACAGAAAATGTCAAACACTCAGTGAAATCAGAGCTGGAGGCAGAAAGGAAGACTAAAAGGGAACACTGTAGAAATAAATCCAGAATGAGTGTAGAGGCTATAAGACAACACATCCCAAGAAAGAGGGCACAGGTGCCAGGTACTCCAATAAATAAAGATCAAGCTCACGGATGAATCTGATAAATGACTGCTGTGGAACCCAAGCCCAGACTACAGTGCATAAAATAGTAAGGATGTATGTAAAACATAGAATGTCATCTGAGCCGTGTTGTAGCCCAATGAGTTAATTAATAGTAACACCTTCTACTACATGGAAAAACTGAGACCCCAGAAGGATACTCAGTCACTACAATTACTAGAGTAATTGTAGCAGTCCTCGGTTTCAAAACCTTTAATTTTTTTTTTTTTTTTACCCTTAAAGTCAAATGCTCTTACAACTTGTGTTACCTTTTTTTGCCTTCCTGTTACTCTTTTGAAAAGCTTGGCCATAACCAAAGAAGCCAGTCAACAAAAGCCCTGTGTTAAGAAGCAAAAGCTTTATGATATCTTTACGTTGATGGCAATTAGCTAGGGGAAGGGCTGAAAAAGACAGCCTGCAGGTAGACACTCAAGATATACATGGTGGGAGAGAAAAGCTAGAGTAGAGCAGGGCCTCTGTAGGACCACAGAGCAGCCATGGAGAGAACTAAACGACAGGAACTCCCCAAACACTAACATCACAAACTGATGTGGCAGGGCACAACCTTCCCTATTATAGGGAAACAAAATAAAGACTCCCTTTCAAAACATTCCAACCAAATAAAAATCAGAGAACTTAAAATTCAACAATACCATGTAGACATCAAACTCGTCCAGGCATCTGAAAGGTGATTCAGCAATGGACCACAGGGACAGAATGAAGCACACTGTAGAGAAAGAACGTTCCCCACCAGAGAGAGCACGCATGTCATTGAAGGAAGCTTTGTTTCCCTCTCCGGGCTGAACCTTTAAAAGTGATCACAAAAAAACAGGTTTATAGTTCAAAACAAGAGAAAGAGGGATAAAGCTAAGATTATTTAGCAGTATAAAAGAATCAATTCCATTCAGAATATTTCATACTGTAACAGTAAGCTATCTAATTTTGTTTCATTTTAAAACAAAGCGGGTGTGGGGGGATAATATGTTTTCACCCTGGCCTTCACTTTGAGACAGAGAAAAGCGGAAGTTTTGCCAAGTTCCTTAAAATTTGTTTGCATGACCTTGGACCATATCTGTTACAGGGAAGTATTTCAGAAAACAAGTTTGGCAGTTTCACAACTTCTTCTTTCTTGTATTGATGTGACTTGTTTTTGCTTTGCCTATAAAAAGGAATTGTGGAATAAACTCATGCTGCAGTCTTACTGACAGCCCTCTTGAGCTGATCCCATGTATAATATGGCTTGCTTTAATTATTTCAATCCTCACTCCCAACTCTGGAACTATTCGACTTTGCTGGCAGGCTCTGACAATTTCTTTTAAGAGTTTCTCAGCTATTCGATATTCCTGTATTGAGAATTCGCTGTTTAGCTCTGTATGCTACCACAGGCTGCTCAGTTTTCAAGTGAGTTCCCTAGTTTAGGGGCTGTCTCTGACATGAACTCAGTGGTCGGCTCTTCGATCACCTCCCTCTGGGGGGTTCAGCCTTGCCAGGCCACAAAGGAAGATGATGCATCCAGCCTTGATGAGACCTGATAAGCTAGGGTCAGACAGAAGGGGAGGAGGACCTCCTCTACCAGGGAACTAGAGAATGGGCATAGGGGGAGAAGAGGGAGGGTTGGTGGAACAGGGAGGAGATGAGGAAGCAGGCTGCAGTGGGGATAGAAAATGAAAAAAAAATGTAATAAATATATAAAATAAAATAATAAAATAAAACTGAGGGGCTACAAAGATGGCTCAAAGTTAAGTGTTATTACAGAGGACCCAGGTTCTTTTCCCAGCGCCCACACAGTTGCTCAAGGCTATGTATAAGCCCAGGTTCAGGGATCTGATGTCTTCTGGACTTCTCAGGCACCAGGCACGCACTTGGTGCATAGCCATACATGCAGACCAAAAATACACAAAAATAATTAAAAAAAAAAAAAAAATCAGCCTCATACTGGTGGTGCATGCCTTTAATCCTAACACTTAAGAGGTAGAGGCAGGCAGATCTCTCTAAGTTCAAGGTCAGCCTGGTCTACAGAGAGAGTTCCAGGACAGCCAGGGCTATACAGAAAAACAACAACAACAACAAAACCAAAAACTGTTTCAAACAAACAAACAAAATCAAATTGAACACTTGTTGTAACTTTAATAAAACCTAACATACCAAAATTCCAAAGCTATGGTAACAAATTCAATATTTAACCAAACATTATTTACTAAAATAAATTTAAACTAGTTCTGAAACTGTTACTGCACTAAACATTTAAAGCACTGAGATAATTTTTCATTACCAGAATTATAGTGCCATCTAGTGGTTTTACAGCTTTAATAATTACTGACTGTCAAAACAGACCAACTTGAAGAAAGAGGATTACCCAAGAATAATGAAAATGGATTAATAGACTTTTTGAGGGGTGGAGGGAGGAGGAGGACTGGGAAGAGGGGAAAGTGCAGGAGGATATAAGATAAATAAAATTAAAATAAAGACATTAAAAACATTTTAAAACATCCTCCATGGGAACAGTAAAAAGAAAATCAATTTATGTTATTAAAAGCATTCCTTCTGTATAATTTCCCAAGACAAAAATATAAAGTAATAGAGAGAGGCATTCTATTTTGACAATATTGCAGACATACTATATCCAACAAAGTGAAAAGAACCATTTTATGTGTAAGATATACATCATTTTTTTAACACTCTAAGCGGCTTACAAATTCTGAATTTAAATGTATGCTGTGTATCTTTTTTTGAAGACACAATACCCTAAGTAGGGAAAATATCTTATGAGGACATAAGTATTTATTTTCCTTAAATTTGTGCCTGAAAGTAGATGGGTTTTCAAATAAGTGCAATTTTCTTCCCAACAGCAAAGTAATAGCTCTGACTTCATGTCCTTAACAACCATGTTTCAATTTTGCTCATTTCAGTCATCGTCATTAGAGGTACAACAGTAGCTAGTGAGGCATAAATTTGTATCTCTGATGACTAACAATCCTGAGCACTGTTCATGTGCTTATCACCCATTTAGGTAACTCCAGTTTAAGTCTTTGGTGATTTTAAAATAGATTCAGTCTTTTATTCTTTTTATCCTCAAAAAATTCTAGGTAAGTTCTTTTGTTGTAACATGCATCAAAAATTACCTTTCTCCAGGCAATAGCATCCCTATTATTACTGTTACTTTTTAAAATTACTTTTTGTGTCCTATTTTTAAAATCTTCATTAAAGTACTTTCTTTTATTAGCAGGCAAGGGTGGCACATGTTAACGGAGTGTTTATTTCTACACGTATGAAATATATACCTGTTAAGTCACATTTCTATCCCCTCACTTGTGTCTAGAGCCTTTGAGCATCTCTCTTCTAGTTTCCCCTAAAATACCCAGTAGTTCCTGTGGCCTGCAGTGGCTACACTGCTGTGGAGCACTGGGACTTAACTCCTATCAACCTTTTGGTACTTGTTAGCTAACTTCTACTTCTTTCCCCAACTTGTAGTCATCACTTCTTTGTGTCCAGATTAATTTTTGAACATCCCATGAGAATATATGCCATTTGTTTTTCTGTGTGTGGTTTACTTACCATAATATCTTCTTGTTTTATCCATTTTGATGCAAATGGACAGGATTTCATTTTTGTTAATGGCTAAATATCATTTCATTACATGTATCTACTATATTTCTTTATCCATTCATCCACTGATGGGTACCTTAAGCTGACTTCCTCATCCAGCTTATTGTTCAACATTTTACATTTATCAAATTTTATACTAATCACTTTGTATACTAAATGGTATAAAGGTCAAAGTCTTTGTTTTTCCCAAAAGGACACCCAATAATTTGAACCCAGTAATTCATGAAATGATCACCATTTACCCACAGGCTTATAGTAGTGTCTCTGTCTAGATGAGGGCGTCATGTGTTCAATCTGCTTTTGCAGTCTCAGTTTTGCTCCCACTGGACATCTGCTTTCTCTTATTTTCTGCTCTTAAGTTTTATGAGATCTCTGTCTAAATTCATAATTGTCTTCTCCTAGCTTCCTGAGAGAGATCATTAATGTTGGGCTAACCTTTCCTCCTCAAACATGTACAGGGAGCTACATATTGTCCTTTAAAAAGTTCTACCCTGTCTCATATTTTGCTGTTTTATTTTTTATTGTTGCTGAAAATTATCTTCTAATTTCCATGTGATTTATTATGATTCCTTAATCATTTAGAAATGTTTTGTGGGACTGGTGAGATGGCTCAGCAGGTAAAAGCACTAGCTGTTCTTCCAAAGGAACTGAGTTCAAATCACAGCTGTCACATGGCAGTTCACAACTGTAATTCTAGTTCCAGGGGATCTGACAACCTCACAGACATTTTGGAGGCAAAACAAAAATGTAAATTAAAAAAAATTCATCTGTGTAAAAATGTGCTATATAATTTTATAAATTTGGGGAATTTTATGGTTTTTATTTCTAATTTCATTCAACTTTGAAATATAGTCTATATAACTTTAATTTCTTTTTTATTTAATAAGTTATTAAAATTTTATAAATTGGGTAAATAGTCTATGCTGATAAATGTGCCATAGGTAATCCACAAAAATTACAATTCACCATGGTGTTCCTACAGTTAAGCTGTCGGGTCAGTTTGGTGAATACTGTAAGGCTTGTTTAACTTTACTAACTTTTAATCTGATTTTTCCATTAATTATTGAGAAAAGTTCTAATTCCATCTATATTTAACAATTTTGCCTTTTAGTTTCCTCAACTTTTCTGTATTTCCTGTCTTCAAAATATATAAATTCAGAATGTTTAAAATTAACTTTCTATATTATAAAACATTCCTTTTGGTCTCTAGTATAAACCTGATTTTGTTATTAGTAGCAGTTTGTAAGCTTTCCTGTCTATCTGCATGGCATGCCTTTGCTTTATGTTTTTACTTAGGATCCCCTTGTCCTTGTGTTAATGTTTAAAGTCCCCTTTTAACAGAATTTGACTCATAATCTTATACACACAGACAAGTCTTTGCTTTTAATACACCATTAACCCCCAAAGGCCTAATGTAACTCCTGGTAACGTTAGGTTTTATTTCACGCTATTTTGTGTTTGTCCCCATGTTCTCTGCGTCCTCTCTCTTTTGTTTACTTGAGACAGGGTCTCACTCTATAGCCCTGAGTATCTATAATTTGTGTTAATCTTCCTGCCTGGGGATTCCAAATGTGATTACACACAAGTTGTCCTTGGGCCTCCATACTTAAACTGTGGCATGTAATCTGAAATAAATGCAACAAAACCTTTTTAATTGCATGTATTTAAAATGTGAACTGATTACATTTTAGCAAGTGTGTTTATGTAAGAAACTGCAATTCAAAATAGGAATACATCCTCATGCTTCTTCATGAACTCTGCTTAGTTTCCATGGATCTGAATGTCTCTGTAACCAAACCACGGTCTGTTACTTTAGCCTTCAGTTAATAAAATCAGAAAATACTGTTCTTTCTTTTCAAAGTTACTATAATTATTTTAGCTCCTTTGCACTTCCATATACATTTTAGGACCCGCTTATCAATTTCTACCAACAAACAAACACCCAACAACAACAACAACAAAATCCATGTCTATTTTGATACAAATGGTGCTGAAATCTACAGGTCAATTTGAGAAGAACTAAAATTTTGACATGCTGAATTGTCATGTGCATATTCATGCTTGTATATACACATGTGTGTGCAGTGAATATACATATGTCCCAGGTGTTTTCCTCAATCACCATTTCCTTTTTCTTTTTCTTTTTTTTTTTTTTTTTTTTTTTTTTGAGGCAGGGTCTCTTGTTAACCTTGGACCTCACTGAGTCTGCTACACTTGCCAGGCCCATTAGTTCACTTGTCTCTGCTAGGCTTCTCATGCAATGCTGCAGATGCAAACTCAAGTCTTAATGTTTGCAAAGCAAATACTTTACTGGATAGAAAATCTCTCCAGCACCTGCTGAGTCTTTTCAGCCATAAAAATTATACATTTCTCATTTAGGTCTTCATTAATTTCTCTTTTGGCTTTCCAGAGTATAAGTCTTAGACATTTTGTATCAGATTTTTATTTATTTTGTATCTAATGGTGTAAAAATGGTATTTTAAATTTCCAGCTTTTCATCATGCGGCTAATATACAAAAATACAATTCATTTTCAATGCTGATTATGCCTGTAACCCTATTTGTTGTATTTAACTATTTTTAGTTGCTTGTTTTATAGATTTCATTAGGTTTTCTATACAGGTGGCCATTTTAATTATAAATGCAAGGAATTTTACTTCCTTTATAATCCATTTCTTTCATTCCTTGATTCTGGCTAGAATCACTGGTACAGTAATGAATAAATGGTAAGCATAGACAACTTGGTTGCTTCCTAACTATAGGGAAGGACTCAAATCTTTTTACTTTATGCTTGATACTTTGTCTAAGAACAGATACTAGATGATACAATAGCCCACCAAGGTGGAAAGGAACAAGTTTCCACTTGACCAGCATGTACATATGCTAAGGCTGACTGACAGTTTAATCTGGACTGTAGTAGATTTGCAGTTTTACTAATATACAGACAGTTTCATATATATCAGTTACTTTAGCTAACCATGTAAACTCCAGCCCTCAAGAATTAACTGAAATACTAGTCATGTGCTTAACGTTCCCCAAGTCCTGCTGTCTTGTCTCAGTATCCCTTGTAACTAACAAAATTCTAAGATCAGCAAATGCCTCCAGGAAAGAAAATATCCAGCAATGTTAGCTTACTTTGGACAGGTTTTCCCACTTCTTGAAAATTCAATTCATCTAGTCGCTGTTGCTTCCATAGCTTTCCAATGTCTTTAAAAATAGAACTTTTGTAATTTCCTTGGATTTCTTGTACTTTTGCAGTAAAAACAATGGATTATTATGACATTCTACCTCCCAAACCGCAGGCCTAATTTCCCCTAGTACTTTCAAATCTGTATCTTTAAATGACTGGATCTCAGAAATAAATGGTGGGTTAAGAGATGGTAAGCATGATTTACCAGTGGAAACTGAAACAATGAAAAGTAAAATTAACTTTCTAATTTGGTTAAATGCAGAAGTTCTAACAAGGCATTCCAAACATTAGTATTTACTGTGAATATTAGAAGAGAAGGATAAAATTACGGAACCAAGAACAGCAATTACTATTTAAAGTGGGTAATTGTTTTTTATTTTCTTACACAACTTTTAATTCATTTACCCACTACACACTTTGTACACATTTCTACAAACACAAAATCTACAAAGGTGAATAACAGATAATTAAATTATGAGTCAAAAACTTCATGGCTTCCACAGTGAGACTACAGATAATGGACTGTAAGTTCTAATGGTGCTGGGCAAAAACTTAAAACAGTGGTGGAGTGACAAGTTAAACACATGTTATACTGAAAATAAAAGTGTCCTTAGCATCCTAAGAAAACAATGTGATTGTCTGGAAAAAAAACTCCAAGCTACTAGCTGTATTAACAGCAATTTAATTTTAAACATACTAGCAAAGACCGTATTTTCAAGAGATAACAGGATAAGGCTGATCATGTTTCATGAAAAAAAAAAAAAACAAAACAAAAAACACAAAACAACTAATGATAAAGAGGTAGAGTCAAGATACTTACTGATATACTGAGAGTTTCATTCTTGTGGTCAAAATTCATTTTTCCACAGTAAGCCCGCTGAGATAATAAGTTGTCAAAGTATAATTTGCATCGCAATGTCAAACACCTTCAAATAAAGTAATTTGGCACATTATAATAAGAACTGCATATTCAATATGGTATAAAATAGGTAGATTTAAGATGTTGTTTCCTGTGTTTTTAATTGTATTTGTGTCCTGGATTTTAACAAGTTCATTACTTGTATATGAATGTTTATAAAATGAATAAGGGTATCATTCCACATTAAATATGCCCATTATGACCCCATTAGTCCATATGAATATATTAGTCATCCAAACTTGTTACTCAAGGCATTACTCTCATATATAAGACAAATCTTGTCCTTAAAAGAATTAAGCTTTAGAGACATCAAGATAAATATGCATCTTCCTTATCTGCCTTTTTCCCCCCAGTTCATAATGGGAAAAAAAAAGGTAAGGGTAAATGTTTTATCCCTTGCTGGTATAATGCAAATTCCATCATTTCTACTCTATTATCAGAAGAAACTGAACTATATTGTAAGGAAACTTCCTGCTGCCTCAATTCCCTCTCCCTCTATGTCTTAATGCACGTGCATGAGCACACATGCAGGTGGCAGAGAAACCTCACCTGTCATTCTTTGGTGCTATCCACCTTGGTTCACTTATATTTAGACTTTTTAATTTATTTTATGTAGATGAATGCTCTTTCTGAATGTATACCTACACACCAGAAAAGGGCATCAGATCCCCGTATAGATGGTTGTGAGACACCATGTGGTTGCTGGAAATTGAACTCAGGACTTTTCCAAGAGCAGACAGTGCTCTTAACCTCTGAGCCATCTTTCCAGCCCCATATTTAGACTTTTATTTTATGGGTGTTTTGTCTGTATGTCTGTCTGCGCACCACATACACGCAATGCCCACAGAAGCCAAAAGAAGGCTACACAAAGGCTAGAGACCCCCTCTGACAAAGTTGTAGATGATTATAAGCTACCATGAGGGTGTTGGGAATGGAACCACAGAAGGGCAAGCAGTACTCTAACCTCTGAGCCATCTGCCTATTTCTGAGACAGTCTCTTACTGCTCTGGGGTTTGCCTACTTAGCTAGCTGCTTTACTAGTAAGCCCCAGGGATCCTCCTATTCTCACCTCCCCAGTAATAAAATTATAAATACGCACTACTGTACCTGACTCTTCTCCCAGCTTTTATGTGGGGCACAAAACAGGGCTTCAAACTCAGTTCTTCTTGTTTACTGAGCTATCCCAACCTTCAATTCTTATTTACCTTTTTCTTTATCAGGATGAAGTTACTGTGATTTTCAGACTGTCTCAGATTTTGCCAATGAAAGCTCTTTAAGTGATCTCCTAAGTACTTTTGTCATCACTTTGAGGGAGTGGCTGGAACTGTAGTCGGGGTTGAGCCATAACAAGAAGACTTATCTACACCTTCCCCAGGCAGATTTTGCTATCAGCCATTTTTCTCCATGGAATCCTGCCTCCTTTTATTGAGGGTACAGTATTTAGAAAATAAGGTCTGGGTGAGAGAAAATTGGCAATTTTTCTTATTATCTGTACTCATTAATGAGTTCAGGCCTTATTCCCTCAGAGCAACCATAATTTTTTTCTCTCCACTGTTTCCTGTCCTATACTACATTTAAAACTCAGTCCATACTAAAAGAGAACCTGGGTTTTGTTAGTTTCTTTTGCTGCCATAGCACTGGCAACAGAATTCCAGAACTCCCTATTAAGGAACATCCTTCAATACTCCAATATATTGGCTGCTTTCATTCACAGGACTTTTACCATAAACTGTCCTAAAATAAGAAGGTTAGAGAGTAAAGAAAGAAATGATTCTAAAACGTTGGCCATTTTAGTTCTTTCTATAACTAAGTAAATAATATAAAATAACCCCATGTCAGTATTAAAACCTCTATCAAGGCTATACACTATGATAGTTGGTACTGTCAATGCAATGATATGGAACAACCTGGAAAATGAACCTAAGCATACCTGTGATGGATTATCCTTACTGAGCTAATTAAAACCAGCCTAAAGGCAGGCAGCAATAGTCCTTGGGCACAAGATCCTGAACTGTATAAGAAGGGAACAGAGCAGCATGAATTCACACTGCACTCTCTGCTTCTTTATTCTGGATGCAACACACCAGCTGTTTTGAATACCTGCTGCCTTGATGCTGTGAGCAGAAATAAACCCTTTCTCTCTCTTTGGTTTTTAAATTTTTCTTTCAAGACAGGGCTTCTCTGTGTAGCCTTGGCTATTCTGGACTCATTTTGTAGACCAGGCTGACCTCAGACTCAGATTCACCTGCCTCTGCCTCCCCGAGTCCTGGGATTACAGGAGTGTACCACTGTGACTGGCGAATCCCTTTACTCCTAAATTGCTTTTCTCAGAATATTTATCATAGCAACAATAAAAGAACTAAGGCATACACGAAAAAAAAAAAAGTATTTTTACACAGACTATTTAAATACTAGTTTCTGTTTAACAACAGATAAACTTTACTACATCTGGAAAACATGTAAATAATAACAGAAATAATAACATGTAAATAATAATAATATATTTAATTTTTTAAAACCTCTTCAAAAACCAGACAAACTCTATGAAATAAGAGTTTTCACTCTTGATACCAAATAACAAAGCAGTTCCAGTCAAAATGACCTCTGAAAAAATGGGAAACAAATTAATTGAGCCCTGTAAGTGCCCCCTCCCAACTGAAATGATGAAGTTTAAAAAAAGGGGTGGGGTTGGGGAGTGATTAGGAAACACTTGTTATCAACCTCAGGCCTCCTTCATGGTACACACACTATATACAAACACACAATAGCAAACATTGGGCTATAAAGAAAAATAAAAAGCATCACTGAGGGGCTGTCTGGGAAAAACAGAGGTAATGGAAGAACTATGGCCTCTCTAGAATAAGGATATTAAGAGCTATATCCCCTAACATTCACCTTCTGTTTTGTTTGTTTGTTTGTTTGTTTGCTTGTTTTCTGCTTTGTTGGTGTAAGTGGAGATCTATTTACTCCTGAGATTGCATTTTTGGGTATGTTATTAATAGCTCCTTTCCTTGCTCAGTTATAAACATTGAAGATGTACAGTAAATCAAATAGGTTTACAATAATGGAGCTATACCATTCTATCAGATCATGGTAAAACAACTGAGATAGTGCCTTAATGGGCCCTCCTAAAATCCCTTAGTAACATGCAATGTCCTAGGGTTAAATCAATTGTTTCAGTACCACTGAGTTCCCAGTCAAACAATCTACTAAGCAACAAAGAGCATCTGAGAGTTGTCTAGTAAAGGTTACCTAACAGAGGAAAAGCTAGGTGAGCTTGCTGTTAAGGTCCTTTCATTACAGCGTTCTGCTTAACCACAGATTCTAAATGCTAACTGTGGATCATGCATATAGCTGTACTGAGAAAAGATCTAATGAATACTCATACAGAATACTGTGAAAATAAATAAAAAGATAAATGTTTAAAATGCACTTACCTTCTGAATTGTTGGTATGTTTTGTACCTATGGGTCATTATTTCTTCTAGTAATTTAATAAACCTTCTTAAAGTCCTTACTTTATTATCCAGATCAAGATAGGTTTCTCTTGCTTCCTGGTACTGCCTATTTTGTGAATAAAATATTCAGTAAATAAATTAAAAAATACAAGGAAAAGTCTCGATATATTTGGAAAGAAAAGGGAAAGAAGGAGTATAGAGGGCCTACGAACAGCTGATTCTATGAATTTCTCATCAAAGTATATCCCATTAAGAATGTTTCAAACAAGAGACAATGCAACTGCAAAGCAAGAACAAAGCCCAAGACTTAGAAAATGCATTAAGACAGAAAAATTATTTGCCTAAGTACCCAGGTAAGGCTCAGAGGTAGCATATCCTAGAAAATACAAGTAAGTCGACACTTTTAAAGAGGTCTCACCAGAAGGTTTTCTTAGTAATAGATGTCAACAAGGGAACAAGGATTACAAGGTCAGTATTGGAATCCCTCCACCCTAAACTTGATAAGAAAGACAAGGAGGTTATGACTACTCAAAAATGCCACAATGAAAGGATAATCAGCACCTGGACACACTTCCACTAAATCTGAACCTTACCATTTTGGCTAGAATGGCTGGCCAGCAAGTTTTGGGGATCGACCTGGCACTGGTGCTGGGGTTACAGATAGGCATCCTCATGCCAGGTTTACAAGGATGCAGGAGATCCAAATTCAGGACATCTTGATTTGACAGCAAGAATTATTAAACTGTGTCACACCTCCTCCTCAGCTCATTCATAGATATTGACAGAGAATGTCAGTAATGAAGATCAAACCCCAAGTCTTGGGTATGCTGGGCAATTATACTACTACTGAGTGGCATCCACAACCAAATCAATTTAGAAACTTTTTAAAGCGAGATGTACTGCCTACAGAAATTTCTTAATAGTATGATCCTTCCCCACTATTTTGAACATGATGCTGAGATCACTGGCTTTGTCAAACTTATTTTTAAAAAGATTTATTTATTATGTGTATAGTCATGTGGCACCATGTCACATGTGGAGGTTAGGGGCTAATCAATGGCTTCAGCTTCCTCCTTCAACAACATGGGTCCCAGGGATTGAACTCAGGCCAGCAGGCTTGGCAGCATATCTAAATTTTTCCTCCTGAGCTACCTTACTGGACCCCTTCTTTTGTAACATAAAGGGGTTTTGTACAAAGGTTGTAATTACAAATATTGTAATTTTTTATTCTTTAACCATTTTTCGGAGTTGCAAACTATGGTTAATGTTTCATTTTTTTTAAATAAATACCTATACAAAGAACTTAGTAGAATATTTTCTCATTTTGATTATTTACAATATAAAAGTAGTGACTCGTTTAAAATTGCAACAAATATTCTGTAAAGCATTTTGACTTATACTGATTAAATGCTTTTTAGAAGAGTTTTAACAACTATATGCTGTTTCCTCTAGATTCCTTTTATTAGATTCTTTCATTTGATTTTCATAAAAACCCCTAAGTTATCATAATTACACTAATTACATAGGTAAATAAAGGCTAAAAAAATGTGATGACTGTCCAAAGTCCTCTAAGTGTATAACAGCAAAACTGTAAACCCTTCTAATCCTCCTAAAGCCTTTGTTTTTATTAGCAAGCTCGTAATGTAAGAATACTCATTTCACTGAGACCTTAATGGCCTGGACTATTAATGTTTTCATTGCATTCATTTTCATGTATGTAGAAAATAACTTCTGGTTATCTTGATTTGCAATTTTGGTGACTCGTGAAGGTGAATGTTTTCCTGTCCATGTGACTCTCATACACTGCACTCATGTTAAAATGTCATTCCACAGCTTAGTAATATACTGTTTACTGTCAGTAATACTCATCAAACAGATGACTTCAGTACAACTATATACTGATAGTAATACTCCAACAAATTAAAACTCATATATAAAACATTTGGGTGTCTTAATAACATCTATAGATAATACATTAAAGTAGAAAATTAATGACCACTTACTTCATTATTTCCTCCCGATCTCCATGACTAGCATGTTCTGCCTGTATTTTTTGTCTTAATCGATTAATTTCTTTGTCTAAAATTGATGCAGACTTTTTTACTTCTATGCGTTCTGGGCAGATCTGTCTTGCTTGTGACATTTTCTCCTAAGAAAACAGATGTTTAGATCTTAAAATTCTTCTTTGATATAATTCATTATATTAATCCTACCAAAATATGCAATGTAAAATGACCTTAGATTTAAGACATACATTTACTATCAGCATTTTTTTCCTTAAAACATTTATTATATTTAATTATGTATATGTCCACAACTACAGATGCCTATAGAGGACAGAGATATAGGATTCCCCTGGAGCTGGAGTTATAGGTAGTTGTGAACATCAGATATGGGTGCCAAAAAGCAGATTCAAGTCTTGTGGAAAAATACGATGCATGGTCTTAGCTGTTGAGTTAGCTCTCCAACCAACATTAACAGTGCTTCTATCCGTGTTTTACATTGAAGAAACAAAGTTAAGTGTCTTTAGTAACGTTCAAGAAAAAGTATATTACTACGCACAAGATTAGTAACTTGTAAGAACTCCACTTGTAAGAGTTCCTAGTAAAAATGTAAAACAGTCATAAGATGATGCTGAGGTTGGTGACAGACTGTGGTGTACTTTAAACAAAAGAGGTATGGAAAATACAAATAGACCATCTTGCTTATGTGCAGTGAAAAAAATGATAACTATTTTCTCATACAGTATCAATTTTATATCATAATCTAGGTCTGAAACAAATATGGAAACATAAGAATGCAACTCATTTTCCTTATGACCTAAAGCAAAGATGGAATCCACTACAACAGGACTGCCTTCAATTTATTCCCTAAAACCATAGTGGCTGCTTAGCTGTCAGCAGACATAGCTAGCAGGAGTTAAACCCTGTCAACACACACCCCAGAGAGGCAGAGGCTTAGTCCTGACATTAAGTGGCATACACTTAGAGAGGTGTGCTAACTGAGAGAGCCATGTTCTCAACAGCTGAGTCACAGTAAAAGACTATCTGGTCTAGTTAGTCCTCAAATTCTGAGAGGCACTAAGGCACTAAGATACTAATCACAGAAGTACCTGTTACCCTGTAGGAAACAAAAACTCAAGACAATTTTTTTTTCCTAGAAAAAATGACATTGAAGAAAATGGGTTTTAAGAATAAAGTGGGAGGTGGGCTGGAGAGATGGCTCAGAGATTAAGAGCACTGTCTGCACTTCCAGAGGTCCTGAGTTCAATTCCCAGCAACCACATGGTGGCTCACAACCATCTGTAATGAGATCTGCTGTCCTCGTCTGGCATGCAGGTGTGCATGCAGACAGAACACTGTATACATAATAATCATTTAAAAAAATAAAAAAGAGGTTAAAAAAAAAAGAAGGAAGTGGGAAAGACAACACAGCAAATTGGAATGAAGGACAGAAACAAAGAGTAGAGCTGGGAAAATGAAAGCAGACAGTTAAGGGAGAATAGGGGACAGAAGAGAACTAATTAAAAAAAATTCATAGAAACCTCATACGGAAGCCTATTACTTTATAGCTAATTTCAAAACTAAAAAATGGAGGAAACCAAATTAAAAAAAAAAAAAACCAGCCAGCCAAACAAACAAACAAACAAACAATCAAACAGAAAACCCCTAAGTCACTCATTAACAGGGGAGACAAAGTCCCAACTAAACATTGCTTGCCACCAAATGACACCTCCAATTCTAGGAATGGGTTACATCTAATCAAACTGTTGGCCAAAGGGCCCTCTTCGAAACCTCTAAACAATCCAGGATATTGCCAAAGCTCTTGGTTGCTCTCCACAAACTGATGTAAAGCCCTACTGATGAAAACGTCTATACAAATCACTAAATATGGAGAAGTCTATCTGGTGTCTAGAGCTTTCACCCCAAATGACTTGTGTTCATGGTAGTGCAAGGTACTCTGCACACTACCAGGAGAAAGGTAAACACCAACCCAGCTACAGATCCTTCAATCTACAATAGTGACCTATATGGAAGACACACTGGTATAATAATGGCACAAAAGTTGAAGCAACTGATCGCTATCTGACTGAAATTACGGGCCACTCCATGAGATGGATTACATACCCTGCACTCCCTGGTGCCATAGAAACTGAGACCAGATAGGACATGGACCTAGGGAAAAATTAAATACTACTGTTCTGCTAAAGGAACATAGCAATATAATGATGGCTCCTAACACATTCTGTTATACTCGTAGATCAGTGCCTTGCCCAGCTATAGTCAGAGAAGCTCCTTTTGCAGGAGATGAAAAAAAAATAGAGATCCACAACTGGACAGTGTAAAGAGAGTGAAAGACCTTGGAACACTTCATCCTAAATGGGATGTCTTCATCAAATCCCTCCCCTCAGGGCTCAGGGACTGTGCAGAAGGGGAGGTAGAATGGAGAACACCAAAGAAGTAAGGACTTTAGACACAACAGGACTGACCCACACAAAACTCAGTGTGGTAACATGCACAGGACCTATACAGATCTAAGCCAGATGGGGTCCCAGAGTTGAGACACAAGCCTTCCTATGGAAGCCAGAAGCTAACTCCAAAAATGATAACCACCTGCAAAGGAAAAGTTAAGTTTTTTCTAAGGCACTCTCACTGGTGATACAAGCCACACTTAAGGGCAAGTCCCATTCCCAGCAGTAGATAGCCAACACAAAACAACTCCATTGAAGGCTTTATTGCCTCTAATGCTTTGTCTGAGCTTTTTTCTTTTTAACCTTACAGATTTTTTTGCTTATACATTATGGTTTCCAATTGTGTTTTTATGGGTTTTCTGTGTATGAGAATGTGTCTCTCAGCATCTATGTGTTACTTGTGTTTTTAATTTGGTTTCTTTTCTGTTTTTGTTTGTTTGTTTTGCTTTGCCCTATTATGGTTTGTGTGTATTTTCTAATGAGAGAAAAAATGCATGGATTTATGTAGGAAAGTGGGGACAATCTGGGAGGAGATACAGAAGAGAAACTTTAATCAGAATATACTATACGGAAAAAAAAATCTATTTTCGGTGAAAAAGCAAAAACAACAAAAACTTAAAAATCTTAATGATTTAAGTTGTAGATAAAATAATTTCAAAGAGAAAACAACTGGATAACCTGTAGCTCCTTTTCTTTCATGTCAAGTTCTCTTCTCTTTTTATTTAAGGTATCCAAATGTTCTTTCTGTTTATCTTCATAATGCTGCCTTCCTCGTTTCTGGCTATCGACTTCAGAGTCAGCAAGATTTAATTCATCCTGTTTCAACAAAGACATAATAATCTATAGAGCAAAGATTATTAACAGCAGGGTGGGTGCTCTGGGGTTTTTGGGAATAGGGGACAACTCAGTTGCTAAAGTGCCCGCCTGCACTTTTTAACAAGGAAAACCATTCATTTGCCAAGATCTCAAGGAGCAGTCGCAACTGTTCCCCAGACACCTCACACCAAGGACACTCCCACTGGCAAGTAAACTTTATCTGGCAGCTGCAAACATAGCACAGTGGGAGTCTTAGGAATTGAATTACTTTCTTAGAAAACCATCTTGGTGTTGTTAGTGACAACTACTGTGACATACTCTGGGGAAGAGGAAAAACTTCCTGTTAGTACTTGATTATAAGGAGGTTTAGCAAAAGACTCAGCTCCTACCTTTCAATGATTTGAAGTCAAGGGAAAGAGCTAAGATAAAAAAATTCTTATTGCCTTTTACTAAACTTAGTTAAGAACCCTCAATTTCAAAGCTTGCTGAATCTTAGATATTTATTAAGCATAGAGAATTCAAAATAGAACTCAGAGCACAGAAGAATACATCAAAGGCAGAAGGGAAGCTCAGGGACACAGTGCTTGTATAGCATACAAAAAGCCCTCAGTGTGCCCCAGCATCATATACAAAGTAGAAAGGAGAACAAATTAAATAAGCCCAAAGCACAGCTTGCTCTTCATTTTCTTAATTTTAAGTCTCCCAAATAAATAATTTATCTGCTAATCTTTCTTCTTCTATTCTGCTTTAATATATCACTATTAATATTTTAAATGTTATCTTATTTTTACTGTAGGTTCACAGCTGCAATTCTTAAGACTAAAATTCTACTTTACCTATTCTTCAAATTTTTCATTCCTTATTTTAAAACAAAATATTAACTTTCTCTTTTTTTATTCTTGGGGTTTTTTTTATCTTAATGCTTATTTTCTCTAGGACCTAGTTTCTTATTTATTAATTAAATTCAGCTCACTTTATTTTCCTAAATCTAGCCACAAACAGTATATGCTAAAAATGAGTCAAAGGAAATCAGTCCAGAGCCATGACAGTGGCAAACCGATGAGTTAGTTCAAGGCCATGCAGGGTAACATAGTAAGACCTTGTTTTTTTTTAAAAAAAAAAAAAAAAAAAAGAAAGAAATTCAGCCTTCAGTCTATTGCAATGTGCTGATAATCGGACTAAGTAACATTTTATTTCAAGCTGGCTTTCATAGCTGCTAATCCATGAAAGACGGGAAGACTCAGGCAGGGACAGAAACAATAGGCTTTCAAAGACACATGTAGTTCTGCTGCGTCTGCTGGAAGCAGTTACGGTTAAGATTCAATTGTTTATTCTTCTAAAGATAAGAGCAGAGTATTTTGTATTAACTGACATAATTCAATAATATATATGTTTATATTTACACCTAACCAGTAAGGATCTTTAAGGCAAGGTACAATGAGTTTGTTGGAAATAAGTTGTAACATAAAAGACACAGAAGACAAAATAATAATTATATAGATACCTTAAGTGGATCTGCTAGCTCTGATAGCTGATTAATTTTCAATTTAATTGTATCATACTTGTTTTCTGCTTCAATTTTTAGACTTTTAAGATTCTCCATGTTTTCTTTCTGTTGCTCCATATTTTTCTCCACCATTTGCATTTTTATTTTGTTTTCCTCGGCTTCATCTTCCTAATAACATTTAAAGAACACACAGTTAAATACAAGTTATCCAACAGAAAAAAAAATATAGGCAATTTTGAAGAAGAACAGCAAAAAATCAGAGCTAAGATAAAACAAACAAATGAAATATTTCTACATTCTAAATGGGAGCTTTTAAAGTAAGAGCAAAATGGTTCAAAAGAAAGAATGGCATTTAATAGCCAAGTAAAAAAAAATTCTATTTGAAACTACGATCAACAGTATATTTATTCCACCTACTCTCTTACTTTCAAGATGCACTTAATGTAAATCAGTATATACGTTGTGACAATGTGGTACTAAGTAAAAAAAAAAAAAAAAAAAAAAAAAAATTTAAGACATAACCTCTGCCTTCCACGTCTTTATCAATAAAAACAAAAAGCAGAAAACAAGACTACTAACAAAATTCAACAACCCTTAATAGCCAAAAGTGCTGCAGCAAGGAATTGTTCCTGATTTGCTCACTGCTCACTGTAGGTCGCACACTGCCACTTGCTTATGTAGAACACAAATTATGTGGCTTATGTGTTGCACTCCAGAGAAGTTAAATCAAATGTCACAAACAGATGAATAAAAAGCTTAAATACAGGAAAAATTAAAAATACATGTAAAAATTAAGATGGAACATGAACCTGGAAAAAGAAAGACAAAAAGATCAACTCTGACTACTGAAAAGGTATCCCTATCTCTTATTCCTCGCAGAAATACTGGCTAATGTTTACCTTATGTGGTAGAAGAAAAATAAAAATCTATTATGCATGCAAGCCACATACATAAAACCCAAAATTCTGAAGACCACACTTCAGGTAAAATCTGATATATTTTATGAACAATGATGGCAATCATAAAAAAATAGTTGTGATTAAAGGATCTTTTAAAAGTGAGACTTATAGGTGGTGGCAGGCAGATCTCTGTGAGTTCGAGGCCAGTCTAGTCTACAAATCCAGGACAGCCAAAGATACAGAGAAACCCTGTCTTGAAAAACAAACAAACAAACAAACAAAAAAAAAAAGGTGAGATTTGAGAGCCCCTAAGCTAAGTTACAGTTTTATCCCTTAAATTGAAGAAAAGTCTTTTACCAAGGTTGCAATATCTACAGATTGGTGTTCTTCTATATTCTCAAGTTCCCGAATTTCAGAAATATTTTTTCTTATTTTCATCTAGAAAGGAAGTATTTAGAATTTAATAAAAACAGAATCCTTGGAAGAATATATTAAACCACAAGTATCTAGTATGATGATAACACAGCAGGATATAATTGTTAACGAAGGGAAACGCCATTATTCAGTGGACCAAAGGGGGTATGAGCAGTATGTGCACTGCACCATGCTTACTCTTACTACTAACCCATTTCTACAAAGAAGATAGAAGGACGCCACATTAGCAACCAAAGGGGTCACACTGTCGAATCAGTATGAAAAACATGCTTTTCTAAAATACCTAATATTTCAAATTATTCAAAGATTTCTATATAAATCTAGTGTTTCCCAAAGGCCCAAATACTCCCTGGGAGGTCTAGAAGTCCATGTAGTCAAAAGTATTTTAAGATAAACTCTGCAATGTTGTCCACCATTTTTACTAACGCTTTCTCTCAGATTTGCAGGTAGCTTATAATTATATCTAACACTATCAAGAAATAAAATTTAATTTCCATTTTTAAAAAAAATCTAAGTACTTATGGATACACACACACGTGCTAGCTAGTTTTATGTCAACTTGACCCAAGTTAATGTCATCTGGAAAAAATCTTCATTAAGAAAATGGGCCCAGCAGACTAGCCTATAGGCTTGTCTCTAGTGTAGTTTCTTGACTGGTTGATTTGACGTGGAAGGATAGCCCAGCTCACCCTGGGCAGTGCTACCCTGGACTGGTGGTCCTAGTTGCTCTAAGAAAGAAGGCTGAGCAAGCCTTGAGGTGAAAGCCTGTAAGCAGCACTACTTTATGGTTTCTACAACAGCTCCTGCCTCCATGTTCTTGCCCTGTGTTGCTGCCCTGACTTCCTTCAATGATAGACTGTGAGGTGGAACTTTAATCTGAAACAAACCCTTTCCTCCCTATGCTTTTGGTCATAATATTTTATCACAGCAATAGAAACAAATTCTAATTAATACATCACATAATGAAAGTTCTTACTAAAAGGGGCTTGAGGCTAAAATATTTGAGAAAATGAATGACAAAAGTATGCAATTAACTTTGAAATAGTATATTAAAAAAAAGTTTTGTTTTGTTTTTACCTTTATTTCTTTATAATGTAGCTGGCACCTTTTAAGAAGTTCTTCATTGCGTTTAATATCCTTCTCCAGGGCAGACAGACGGTGCTGAAGATTTATTATGTGAGTCTTTTTATTTTCAATCTCAGTCTCCAAATCACTTGACAGAGAAGACAAAAAGTACTTTAATTCTCATATTAAATACATTGCTCCTTTATAACCAAAGTTTATTTGTAATAACTTACAAAACTCTATTCCATTAAATCAGTTCTATGATCCTATCAAATTAAGAAGTTATCAATTTATTAGTGAAAACTAGCAGAAATGTCAAAATACCATCTAAACTTGTTTTACTTACTTGATTACAAAGTATTATATAATATGAATTATATGCTCCAGGAATTATGTATGGAGATAGGTAGAGGCAGAAACATGATAAAGACTCAATCCCTCAAAAAGAAGACAGTCAGATTATACTGCAACATTAAACATGAAGAGGACAAGATACTGTATGTCCTCACAACTGTAGGAATACACATATGATTCTGGAAGAATGTCTTTACCAGCTAAGCCAGCTGGGAGGTAGAGAGGGGGCACATGCAGACACACACAGAGTAGTGACAGGAGATTTAAGGAATAGTTTAACAATTCTTGTTTAAAAAAAGTGCTGAGAATGTGGAGGAAAAGAGACAAAGATATTGAAAATAAAGATGGCAGATGCCAAAACCATAAAGGGTCTCTTTGTAGCAGTCTAGCAAATGTTAAAATTTCAGTGTTCTTCAGTGGCTGGCTCTTTGATCATCTGCCCCTGAAGGGAGAGCAGCCTTACCAGGCCAAAAAAGAAGACAATATAGCCTGCCCTGATGAGACCTGATAGGCTAGGGTCAGAGGGAAGGGGAAGAGAACCTCTCCTATCAATGGACTTGGGGAGGGGCATGGAAGGAGAGGAAGTAGGGAGGGTAGGATTGGGAGGGGACAAGAGAGGGGACTACAGCTGGGATACAAAGTGAATAAATTATAAGTAATTAAAAGATTAATTAATTAAAAAAATTTCAGTGTTCTATTTTACACATGAAAAACAACATACTAAGCATGAGCTAAGTATACAAGCTGCTTGTGGGAGATTAATGTATTTCCAATAACAATCAGTCTAATTTTACTCTGTACTTTGTTGGTTTCCACAGCACTGTTCATGTATAAATTACCAACCTTGTCTTATCACATTTGGCAAGCACTAAGTATTTGTTGTTTGAAAGAACAAATGAAAGCATAAACTCTGGATCATAGTACTGTAGCAATGTCTATCAAATTGTTTTACCATGCAGTTTAATCACACACAAGCAACCAATCACTCTAAGAACCTGCTTACACATCATACATGCTTTCCAGTAGGAGACTACCTTGGGATGAAAAACTAGGCCAAGTGCCACAACATCCATTTGGTGTTTTTTTTTTTTTTTTCACCAACCCTTTTCTATGCTAATCAATAAATTTTAAATTTCTAAACCTCGCAATAACTTCATGCTACTTTTAATAACCACATGAAAAGAATTCAGCATCTGAAAAAGAGAAACTTCAACAAAACCCACATTTCCTTACACATGTGAGTCACTTAGAATCCTTTTCTAAGTGAATCCTTACTCTGGCACAGTTTCTCAGATGGCCCCTTTCCACCTCTCCTTCCTTTCTTTTGTAGTGGTGCTGGAGGACGAATCTAGAGCCTCATGCATGGTAGGCAGTATTCTACTAAACTAATGATCCTTCCTCCTCAGCCTCACAAGGAGCAAGGACGGCACCAGCACTAGCCCTTTATCCGAAGTTAATTTATTCTAAACATAAAGTCATTAACTCAACCCTAAGCCATTAATTCACCAAACGGAATTAGTTTAGTTCAGAAATCATGTCTACAGTGCCAAAATCTTTTCTGCAAACCCCCTGTATATAGTTAGAACAAGATTTTTTTTTTTTAGGTTCTCAATTTGTGTTCTCTTACCAGCTCTATTTTTCTAGGCCTATGGTATAATTGTGTCAAATGGTTTTTCTTGCTTTCTCAAACAATGTAACTCTAAAAATGAAACAGATAAGGAAGACTGTGCATGAATGTAGCCCAGCTTGCTATTTTCTTGTTAAAAAACAAAACAAAACACTGTAACTCAACAGTGAACAGTTGAGTGTAACAGTTCATGTACATTCTTTACTTCTTCAAGATGGACTGCTTCAGATTTGCAATCTACCCTTTTGCAAGAGCCACATTATTCCTCTCTATATTTTCCCAATTTCAGTATACACATGCTGCCCATGGAAGCACTAGTTCACATTCTTAGCATAAAGTACCCTTAGAGTTGTGGGCAGGTAACAATGTGTACATCAGCTCTCAAGGACATTTTATGTATCTGGTCTTCAATACTATTGTCAAATAAGTGCTGAATTCCATATCCAGTTAAATACACTCTAAGACCAAACACTGAAATAAATCACAGAAAATGAAACCTGAAGAACAGTGGGAATAATGTAGTGAAGCTAACATAATTCAAACCTTATTTCAGAATCCACATCTCTGCTTAGAAACTTGGGTCTTGTGCTTTCAGATGAATAGTAACGGCCTGCAAAAACCTGATCACCATCAGCAGTAAAAGCTTCTCTACAATTTTTGGGTGGCTTTTGGGACTGCATGACTGCACGAGCTACAGAATTATTCTAGAATAGAAAAGAAAGTATATTTTTTAAAACAGTGCCAAAGTATTTGTGATGGATGTACTTCAAACTTTTACCCACTAATAAAAAAGTTCAAGTATTTTTATTTAAATACTGAAATAATTCCCAAAATAATTACATTTATGAAATACTTTACAAACAGCTAAAACTGATATTTAGGGAAACAAAATGCAAACCAACCAACTCTATATTATCCCATAAAATAAAAATATAATAGTGAAACATATCTATGAAAAAGTTCAGTTATGAAGATTTTTAAACAGCAGGTATGACATAAAGCAAATAAACCACTGGCCTTACTTTGATGAGCAGCACTGTCTCTATGCTCCGCATGTCAATCAGGCTGTTTGCAACAACAGCATTGTCTATTTCTAAAGCTGTTAGAACAGTTGGAAACTCTGGATGGTAAGCAGCTCTAGGAGACAGAGGGGAAGGGCAATTTAACAAACTTTAAACACAAGCAAATTTCACATATATTAAAAAGTAAAAATCCGTAACTTAATGGGTAAGTAGAGTATAGAATATATACTATCTGATATTTGAAGACATCTGTAAAGTTTATTTATTTGCTGCACAGTTACACTAAAGTAGTATAAGACACTGTTCTAAGCACATAAAAATATGAACTCACATAATCTCTTTTTTTGTTGTTGTTGTTTTGAGTCAGGGTTTCCCTATGTAACCATGTAATTTCTTAACCACTATAACACACTTTATGCTCTCTGGCTTTTTGTTTGTTTGTTTGTTTGTTTTTCCTCTTTCTGATAAGGATGCATCAGAGGGCTTAACAAGTTCCCTAACATTCTAAAGACAGCTAAGTGGCCAGGGTAGAATTTAAAGTAGGCAATATAAATTTAAGTCCAGACTCACAACCATTATGCTCAAAATTGATTATAATAGTTATATTGTTATAATTTCTCCTACATCATGATTTCTCCTTTAACAATACACAAACATAAAAGCTAGTTAATTAAAACTGGATAACTATTTAACTGAGTAACAGCAACAGGAAATTGCTCAGCAAGAATGCTTGATCTCGAAAGTATAAGCATATGATGAGTTCAAATCCTCAACATCCACATAAAGAGTAGGAGACAGCTGTGAGCCCATCATTGAGACAAACAGGTCCTGAGACAATCCTTGCATAAATGAGTAAAATGTATCTTAACTATCTGACACAGTCAATATTCTAACAGTTCTGATCTTTTTTACATTACATGTATCACTGTTATATCAACATTTCAACCATAGTTTACAAAGTTCTTCATACAGATATATAAAAGTCCCCTTAAGAACATTTAAGTCAGTTATAGATAATCTGACCTACTCAATGCTCTTATCAATAGCTGATCAACAATAAAAAATGCTGGAATTTAAATCCTTCAACAACTTTGTACTTTAGCAATGTATACTTGATACCACCTAAAACACTGACTTTGCCATCACTCAGATCTATCTCATTAAACTATAATTTCTGTAATTTCTCAGTCTTATCAACACTTTTCCAACAAGGCTAAGCCTGTTAAGTCTGAATATTTCATAGTCAGGTATTTATTTTCTCTCAGGCCCTACTTTATTTAAACCAATTTCTCAGCCTGCTTCTCTCTTCTTCCTGTCACACCCACACATTCAAAACTTTTCTACTTTAGTGCTAATGAAATAAGGACATTCTTACTGATATCTATAAAGAAGTATTACTAATAAAAAAAATCCTGCAGCTACCATAGATTTTTTATCTTAAGTGGAGTATCATTCAATTTCCTCAGTCATTCTCAGCAGCTGGTTTAAACTTTTCAATAGCATAATTCCCAAGCCTCCTACCCAACTCTCAAAGTTCTTATTCTCAACATTTGAATTTATCCCCCCCCCCCAAGAAAACTGGCACTATACAGCACAAATTTAGCTTGCCTTCATACACTTTCACAATATACTATAATTCAGAGCTGCTATATTTTGCTAAGTCTCTGGAAAATAGCATGCCAACTGGACAGTGATAAGCATTCCCTCCCCTTCATGAGGGGAGCCCATTGCTAGTCACAGAGCACTCCGTACAACTGTTCAGGACTATTCTTTCTGGTCCCAAAATAAAAAAAAATACTAGACTGCAGAGATGGCTCAGTGATAGAGTTGTTACAAAGGACCCCAGCGCCCACATCAAGCGACTTACAACTCCCTTTAACTCCAGTTCTAGGGAGTCAAACGCCCTTCTCTGGCACTATGGGAAGCATACTTATCTGTATCTCAAGAACCTCCACACGATTATAGTTAAAAAAATAAAACAAAGCTTTAAAACATGTAACAAAACAGGCTCAAGGAGGCATTCTCCCTCATGTTAACTTTATAAAACAGCTTAAAACTTCCCCACATGGCACCCACCAGGTATGCAGGTCACCAGTCCAGATGTAGCAGTCCACTGGGTCATTTTCAACATAAAACATTCTGTCCTTAGACAAATTCATTAGTAAAAAGGCTGCTCATTTATCATCTCTGTCTCACCTAACAAATGACTTAATGACTCCCTCATTTGAGCTACATCTATATTTTATGATCCATTTTACTAATGCTTAAAAAGAACCAAAGGCAATTAAGTGTTTGTACACAAATGAATGAGGTAGCATTAGACTTAAAATAATCAGAAATAGAATTTATGACAAAAGTGAAGATGTAAAGAAAATTTAAAAATGCAATCTTGGACTCATACACTTTTTTTAATTTTACTTTTTTTTTTTTTTTTAAGTTTATAGTGGGTTTCTTAGGTCCTGGCTTCAAAATAGCTCTTGAAGCTACTGGAACTATAGGTTCACACTATTGTGCCAAGCTCACATACCTCTCTCTATAAAGTTAACTGACCAGCCAGAGATAGTAAGAGTTTTGGACACCATGCCCTTGAGATGAAAATATAATTTTTCAAGCATCCCAATCATGCATGTGATTAAATAAAACCAGAGACAGTATTAATCTGATTACCTGAGTCTCACATCATATACCTCATTCCGAAATTCAGAAACGATTATCTGCGGCCTGGAGGTCCCCGGTGGATAAAATTTTTTCATCAATGACTGCAGTACTCTCTCATCAGCATGATTATGGCAACAATAAGCTTGCAGAAGTCCTTTTAAGCAAGATTCAATGGCCAAAGCAAGCTCAGGGTCCCGTAGATGAATGCAAGCACCTAAAAGTGATCCCCCCCAAAAAAGATTACAGGATTAATAAATACTTAAGTAATACTGTTGTACAGAGAGATCACACCCTACAAGAACTTGACTAAAAAGTTTTTAAATCCCTAAATAGAAACAAATGAAAATAACCAGAAGAGGACTGGAGATCACATTGCCTGAATAAAGTAACAAATGAGAAGGAAGACATTTTATAAAAAGTATATGAGTCAGAGAGAACTGTGCTTTTATTTTGCCTCTTTATTTCATTTCATGTCAACAGATTGTCAGGTTAATTAATTGAAGTTCTTTCTCTAAATTCCCCTTCTCTTGTCTATTTTTTAAAAGGACAAAAGTAAAGGTAGACATTTAAAGTGATTTTTCTTATTATGTTTAAAGTATGAGCCAGGAGTGGCGGCCTGTGCCTGTAATCCAGGCACTCAGGAGACAGAGACTGGAGGATTGAGTTTAAGAATTCAAGACCAGACACACAAGACCTTCTCCTTCCAACCCCAGTGCCAAACCCCTAAGTACATAACTAGATACTAGTTTAAGTAGACCTCTTCCTAGAACTAAGAAGTTCTATAAACGATATTCTCAAAAGTAGTGGCACATACCTAAAGGGCCTATAGGTTTATGAGTAAACTGTCTCCGCCTGTAAGCATCATCTATAGCTTCCAGAAGAGCTGGAACATGAGGCCCAAATCTTTTTAGTCGATCAGTTTTACTATCTTTCAGTTCTTTTAACTGTCTCTGATTATAGTTTAGTGTTTGCCTCACATCTACATCTTCTCTCCTAAAATATAAAAGCAGAAAAAGGAAACATATCATGTAATAAACTATACAGAAATATTAGGGCTTTGTTCATAATAGTTCTATGCTAACCAATAACCTTGCTACACTAAAAATGATATTTTTATTTACAAATAATTGAGTTACCAGACAACAGTCAGCAGTACACTCACATTAAAAATGATGCAATAATAATGGACTAGGAATTTCAGACTGTCAAAATGTACAAGAAAAGTCTTAGAAAAATAATTTTAATAGTTCTTTATCAGTTCAGGTATGGCCTTTAATCCCAGCACTCAGGAGGCAGGTGGATCTCTGACTTCGAAGCCAAGCTGGTCTACACTGAACTTTCCAGGCCTGTCAGAATTACATAGTGAGGATTATATACTCAAAAAAAAATTAAGTCAAAAGGATCTTTACTGCTAACACAAAAAAGTTCTTTCTTCTCATATTAACAGCAAAACTACATAATATTCAAATAAGTTAAAGGTGTGAACTCACTTAATCCGGACATGTTCTTGTCTGTCCTTTTCTATGGCTTGCTCAAACTGTTCAACCTCTTGATTGACTACATTTTCCTGATCCTGTAAGGCCTTTACTTTCTCTTTTAACCAGCAGATCCTTTTTTGCCTTTCCAAGCGCTCTGGTTCCAAAGACTGATCAGTACTGAAGAGAGTAAGAAAACAAAAGTAGAAAAAAAAATGTTAAATAAAAACCTAACATTTAGAAAGGATAAACCAATATATGAATCTTTCATTAACACCAATACAGAAGGCACAGCACTCCACAGTGCCTAATCATTACATAGAGAGATGACTATGGGAATGCAATGTTACTGTTCTACCTTTTCTTTAATTCTTCAATTCTTTTACAAAGCTGTTCACCGTCTTTCTTTAATGCTTTATATTCATTTAGGGAACGGTTATACAAAACCTATCAAAAAATTAAACATATTTTAGTAACATATAGAAAATAAACATTCCATCAATGCACACCTATGACCATTTGAAACCACATTTTTAAATGAGTGAATGAGACATTTTGATCTAAATGGAAAGAGACTCCTTTAAAAGATAACAAACAAGGAAAAGCTAACACAAGAGTCATTATGTTCAGTTGAGTTTTTTCTATTCTAAGTTAGAAGATTCCACCCACCTCAGCATCATTAAAGGCTCTTGTCCTTGCAATGACATCTGTTTTTAGTGCCATACATTCTGGTGCTCGTGCATTTGTCTCTTCACTAATTTTTTCTAGTTTATCTTGAATATCTTTGTACTTTTTTTCTGCATCATTAAGTCTGACCTTTAAGGAAAAAAAAAAATTACTGTAGTTATTTTTCCTCACTAAAGAAAAAGTTAAAAATTCTAAAGAGTTCACATTCCAATAAAATTATTTTACTCAAGCCATCAGATAAAGGCTAATTCTGACAATTCTGACAACTAAAGTTCAACCTGTGAACTGATACGCTGAAGCAAACTGACTCTCTTCAGTTGTCTTCTGACCTCCTGGTATGACCCAAGGCATATGTGGATGTCAGAACATACATGTGTGTGTACACATGTACACATACACACATAACAAGTAAATAAATGAGATGAAGCCTTTAAAGTTTTAAAAAATGGTATTAGACAATCAGTTACATGAAAATACTAAACTATAATTTAATTTTGACCCATATATAAGTATCCAATAACGTTTTCCTGAATATACTATGAAACAATGTCTTTAAATGAAACAAATTAAGAAAGTCCCAAGTTAGCAGAGAATATACACAAACTAGATTCTAAGTAGAATATATCCACTTATAGTATGAAAGTATAGAAAAGAAACTATAGGTATGCCAAGAAAAGCCAGAGAAAGCATTTGTGCCGAGAGCAGAAAGGGCAATTAATTACAGTGTACCTGCACATAAGCTAAGGGAAAAGTTCTAGGCAAAGACACTAGAGCATGTGAATGAATATCTACTCTAGAAATTATATCAGAAATTCAACTGAGAACATCATGATGTGAAATGAGATGTGTAGAAAAAAACAATAGCTTATAACTCAATTCTCTAAACTACATAGATAAGATAATGTTCAAATTTACATGTTGATTTCTGAACATCCTAGCAGTTTTTAGAAGGCAAGGTGGCAGGAAAATTACAGGAAAGGTTTGAATCATTCAAAACAAGCAAAAAGTCTTAAGAGACCAAAATGAGGCAATGACAATAGGAATGGATTATGAAGGGAGGGTGGAGGTACTACTTAGATCAGAAGGGCAGAAGCAGGCAGATCTTTGTGAGTTCGAGGCCAGCCTGGTCTACAGAGTGAGTTCTATGATGGCCAGGGATACACAGAGAAACTCTTTTGGAGGGGGGGAAAAAAAATCTGACATAGGTCAGTCTCTGTGAGCCATGTGGTATTTGTCACACACTCAGCTCTGGCGCTGGGGAGTTCATGCCTGCAATCCAACACTGGAGAGACTAAAAGAAAATGAATATTAATTTAGGGCTGTATTTTAAGAGTTGATAGAGAAGGAATGAAAAGACAACAGGAAGGGAAGGAAAAAGCAAGGCAGTCCTCTACTGATGATATATTACAAATGGTTTTCTTTTGTTGCTATTGTTTTGCAAGACAGGGTTTCTCTATGTAGCCCTAGCTGTACTAGAACCTGCTCTGAAGACCTGCTTGGCCTTGAACTCAGAGGTCCTCCTGCTTCTGCCTCCCAAATGCAGAGATTAAAAGCATGTGCCACCAAAAGCCTCGCTAAGAATGGTTTTCAAGTTAACAAAAGTGTAAAGTCTGCATGATAATGCTATTTCTTCAGAAACTAACTATTCAAAAGTCAATCAACAAACAATACTATGGTTGCGTCAAAACCTCTGCATAAAAAAAAAAAAAAAGGTAAGAAAGGGGCTGGACATACAGCTCAGCAGTTAAGAACACTTGCTATTCTTACAGTAGGCCCAGGTTCAATTCCCAGCAACCACAGTGGAGCTCAAAAACATCAAAGTCCAAGGGCACCAGCCACACATGAAGACAAAAATACTCATACAAATAAATTTGAGAATTAAAAAAAAAAAAAAAAAAAAGAATCCTAGGAAGGATATAATTACTATAAATAGTCCTTACCCTCCAAATCTTTATAAGTTATTACAGACATATCAAATGCTTACATAGCAGAAAGCCTTACAGATTTCTTCACAATTACTAGTGTTTAAAAACCAGGTGAGCATGTATTACTCAAATTGGTTTTCATTACTCGACTAGAAAATACCTCTGAAAGAAATTCTTAAGGACTTCCTCTAGAACAAGCTGAGAAGGCCAAGAGGATAAACATTATTTGTAGAAAATTTTAGATTATGTCAGAAACAAAATGTGAGGTAAGAGTGGGGGGAAGGTTTGAAATTCCATTTATTACCCCAAGAGGAAGAAAACTAGCCCAGAGACTGCAAAGCAAATATACTATTTATTGCTAGTACTTTTCTAACAGAATCTTTGAAAGTAAAGATGTCTGTGATCTTGAAGAAAGACTAGATGCAATAAGCTGTCCTATGACATAACTATCCTGGGGGCAGAAATTCTGTAAGCAAAGAAGAATAAAATACTAAGATATAAGTAATTCCCATTGACATACAAAGTAGAATGTGGAAAGGCCACCTAATAAAGTTCTGCTTCTTAAACTGGATTGTAACCCATGTGACATCATGTAAATGAAATGTGGGATTCCCCAAAACTGTTAACAGTAAAATGTTCCCGTGCAGAGAAACGTTTTAATTCAGAACATGGCTGCTCTGGCAAGAGATCACATCCAAAGATCTTTTAGGTCTGTGGGATCTGGTTAGAATACAAACACACCTTTAATCCAGGAGACAGAGCCAAGCAGATCTGAGTTCAAGGCCAGCCTATTGTAGCATAAGTATCAAATAAAGAAAAACTTAGGTCTAGGCATGGTGGCACATTCCTTTAATCCCAAACAATGATGGTAAGGATAGTTTGTAAGTGATGTCTAATTGAGTGGCAGAAACACTGACGAACCAAGGCAAGACTTGACAAAATAGGATACGCCCAACTCTCAAGAGGAAAGTAAAAGAAAGCTACTTAAGGGACAATGAGAAAGAGAGGAGACAGTAATAAAGAGACAGGCTGTAAAGAACAAGCTAGACTCAGGTGATGGCAGAACAAGCCAGAGAATGAGAAGGAGCCAGAAGATTAGAGCAGATTGTTGGAGTTAGTTCGAGGCCAAATAAAGCAATTCAGAGGCAGGTTGAATAGGTCAGCTGGGAGAGGAGTTACAGCCAGAACAGCTAAGTTAAACCAGCCAGCCAGAGCTTAGTAAAAACAAGAAAGGATGTACTTATTAAGCAGTAAACTCAATTTTATACTCCCGAATGACCAAAAATTAAAGAAAAACCAAATGCATAATGAATTCAAGGAGTTCCTGGCAGTACTTGCCTATGCTGTATCATGAAACTTCACTCTAAGCTTGGTTCTAAACACACAATACCAACATTTTGCACTATATGCAACATTATGTCACAAAACACCAACAAACCTGCCTAAAACAGACCTCAGCTCAACTTTGAGAGTTTTATAATATGAACCACAGTATTTTTATTGTAAACATAAAGTTTTCTGCTCTTATAACAACATAATGGTTTAATTGTGGAGAACTAAGACTTAATATATTCCTAAAATCATTCCTTAGCTCTCATCAAATTACTGTACCTTTGGATTATTATTATATTAGGATGTTTACTTTTAAAAATTATTCTTTAGAGCTTGGTGGGGCAGTGGACACCTGTAATCCCAGCACCTGGAGAGACAGAGCAGGTGGATCTCTGAATTCAAGGCCAGCCTTGTCTACAAAATGAGTCCAGGACAGTCAAGGCTACACAGAGAAACCGTGTCTCAACAAAACAAAAACAAAAATTGTTCTTTGAGTTTCTGACTTCTATAAGAGCAAACCATCAAAACATTAAGAAATTACTCCTTAGGGCTGGAAAGATGGCTCAGAGGTTAAGAGCACTGGCTGCTCTTCCAGAAGGTCCTGAGTTCAAATCCCAGCAACCACATGGTGGCTCACAACCATCTACAATGATATCTGGCGCCCTCTTGTGGTGCGCAGGTGTACATGCAGACAGCACACTGGATACATAATAAATAAATAAATCTAAAAAAACAAAAAAAAAAACAAAAAAAAAAAAAAAGAAAGAAATTACTCCTGGAGATTAGAACAGAATTTTCAACAATTTATAAAATGAACCTTCTGCTACTTTGTACTGTATATTTATCTTAAAAGTGCCATTCTTAGCACTGATGAGTACAAAACCAAGATATCAATGAACTCTTTAAAAAGTATGAAAGACGCTGTGTCTCACAGTATCAACTATTGAGCCAAGATGTAATTATGTAAAAATAAACATGTACACCCATCTTATCGGTTTATAATTTTGCATTAATTTTAAGGTAAAATTTTATTTTCAAAGAATTATGTTAAAATTAATTTCTTTATTATTTAGTATCAGATGATAAGGAGCTGGGAGTAGAAAAGTTTAATAAGCTCTACCCATAAAGATCAAAGAAGCTACTGAAAGTTCCACTTTGAGAATGACAATGCAGGAAGCTCAATGCAGCAGCAGCACAGCCTTTGAGTATCTAAAATCCACTGAACTACACTTTTAAAAAAGCAAATGGCACAGTATATGAATTCTATACCCCAGGAAAGGTCTTTACACTAGAATGCAAAGACATGACCTTCTGAATAGTTAGAAAAAAAAAAAAAGAGGAAGTTTACTGAAAAACTCCCAGGGTTAGCATTTGCCACACTTAACAACTTTTACATCCATGTGGAGGATCTTACAACTTCAAAACTTTTAGATACAATATTTTCTAATGAGATTTTAACTATCAGATTAAAATCCACCTGAACAAACTTAAAAAGTTTTCTACCACAAACTCTAACAACAAGGAAATCTCTGGCAGGAAATCTAGGTTTAGATCATAAAGCTCCTCTGGGCGCTGTTTTCACTTCTAGTTTCTCCAGCATGCTGACAGTTAGCTTTAATGCTATCCCACATGACAGTTGTTTTGGCACCTCTCTATTTCTCAAGTGCTCTGTTTCAACTCCTTTGTAAAGTCCCTTTGTCCACAAGTGTGAGAAGCCAGCAGCAGCCCAAGCCTCAGATAGAATTATTACAGCCATACACACCTGTTTCAAATGACAGTTGTAGTTGCTATGCAGTCATTGGAAAAGTATTAGGTCCAAGTTTAACAGATTTAAGTACAGATAATACACAGGTGCTTTGTAGGGCATAACGAGTCCCAGCAATATCAAGACTTAACTGATTATATCTTTATAAGAAGAGCCTCTAAGTACCTGTTGTTCTTCCATTTTCCTGTCAAGTTTGGCAGCACGTTCTTCTCCAATTTTGATATTATCTCGAATAGCATTCAATTGTTTTTCAATTTCATTGACCTGCAATCCAACCATATACCTAATTATTACAACTAACAGTTATTAAGACTGTCAATGTTATAAAAGAATACAGATGAACAAGAGCAAAAATTACCACTGCCCACGCCATTTCATGTTTCAAATACTCTAAATTTGTCTTCATTGTACTTAAACCAGCAATATTTTGAAAACGTTCTTCTTTCTCCAAACACTGGCGCTTTAGTTCAGTAAGTCGCTTAAAAGAAAAACAGATAAATTTGTATTAGCATCAAAAGGAAACATTTTGTGTATCTTTTATTTAAAAATGATGCCTAAATTGATACTACACCAAAACATGTCAGAAAATGACTTCATTAAAATAAAAATAAAGACTTTAGTGTTTTGGTACACTTGTGCTAAATACAAAAATTTTGCTAAACTCAGAACTATAAAACTGATCAAATATTAAGAGCAAAGGATTACAGTTCCAAAACCATACATGTCTTCAAGCTTCCTTCCCATTTTCCTTCCTAATTCCCTATCTAAATATCCCTAACCCTATCTCTAATTCCCTTCTAAAGCCTAGACAAGCCTCATCTTCCAGAAAAAGCGTAACAAGTATCCAGAAACTATTCCAGATACCAGAAAGAGAACCAATGCTAATGAAACAAATACAAAATATCCATCTTTCAACAGGTTAAGTGGCTCCTAGACCTCAGTCTTTACACCTGTGTGAAAAGTCCCCCATCATTCACATTTCTATACTCATCCAGGCCTTAACACTGTAATTTTACTTTGATTCTCTATCTAATTCAATTTACCTTCCCTTTTCTAAGATTACTACAATCTATTACCAAATCCTTCCAAGTTTACACACACTGCCTCCTTGATTCTTCTCTAATTCTCTTTGCCTTTGCCTTCAGGGGCAGGGCAAATCAGCAGATGGAAAAGTTCAACCATTTTCAACACTCTTACCTACAAATCTAAAGTAGTTATCTGCAATGACTGTTGCTAAAAAAGAAAGGTGGCCTGGTTATCCTCCAGTCTCCATCCACTACCTGTTTTAGACCCTTTAGTCTAATTTCTCTTTCTGACTAACAAACAAAACCACTAATCTCTATTCCTTGACACTATTCCACTTCTAAAATTATTTCCTTTCTCACCAAGTTTCATGGAAACTATCTACACATTTGGATCCTCTTCTCACTACTGACCCCACCCTACCACAGACATACATGAAGACTTTGCAACATAATACTGTTGAGAAGTTTTGTCAATTTTTACATCTCTCATCAATGACCACTTCCTTCTTAATTCTCTCTTTTCTTGCCTTATTTATGGCTCCCACATCCTCCTCTCATAGTAACAGTCTTAAGTCTGCCTTTTCTACTCTCCTGAGTCATCTAAATAAAATATAGTATATATTTGGACTAAAAAATGTTATCAAGATCAGATTTTACTCCTATATTTTTAATTAATATAATCCACTTGCTATTCATTTTTAATTAGTGTAACCACTTGCTATTTGATAAGTATCATTAAACCTACTCAAAATTTTGTTTAAAATAGAATGAAACAGGGCATGACTGATGGGAGTGATTTACAGATTCGCCTGGTGTTTGTGTCGGTGGCACACACCTTTAATCCCAACACTAGGGAGAAAAAGTCAGGCACTCTCTGAGTTCAAGGACAGCATGGTCTATAGAATGAATTCCAGGAATGCCCTGTCTTGAAAACACACACACACACACACACACACACACACACACACACACAGACACACACACAAGCAAAACAAACAAAACAAAACAAAAAAATCAAAGATCCAAGCAATTTTCCTGGTGGCCAAAATGTTATGATAGGATGTGACATCAACTAGCAAGCCAGTGGCTGCTTAAAGCATGTTACTAGCTCGATGATACAATGATCCATCATACATGTGCATACTATGCTTAACATCAGCTTGTGTTTTGTACTCAACAAAATAAATGTTACACAATACTTTGGAACCATTTATTGTGGGAATCATTAATGCCCTGCACAACCAATTAGTTATACATCAAGGACTATGCAAAATAAGATGCCATTTTATATTCTAATTTAGTCTAAAAGAGGAAATAAAACACATACATACCCATTATTACAAAAAAAAACCTACTAAATGCCTTAATTGTAAAAGTTAAATGTTATATACTTCAGTGTACTATAAAAAAATGACAGTTGTTTAATTAAGGCATAGATTTATAGATAGGAATATAATTTTATACCTTTACCTTACATACTCTAGGAACTGAGTTCATCTCAAAAAAATTTACAGTATTTACACACCTCTTCTCCTTGACTTATCTGCTCCTTTGTTCTTTCTTTTGTTTCCATAATATATGAATAATCTTCCTTCATCTGTTCAAGCTGGGTTGCTTTCATGAAGAACTGTATCAACAAAAAGCAAAATACAATTAGGACTTCATAGGCTTGCAGTATGAAAACAATTTGGGCCCTCAAAACTTTTAAACCAATAACAAAAAAGGTATTAAATAATATGAAAGCACACATACATAAGCACTGAGAACAACTCTTTTAAAGTTTTAAATGGTTTAATGTTTATTAGATCATACATAGCCAATCATTCATTCCACCATATTTCCTCAAAGGTTATTTGAAAAGTAATAATTTATTCTCTTAGAGTGAAAACTCAAATAAAAAAATAAAAATAAATGCTTACAACATTCTTGGTAATTTAAATTTTTATTTTACAATATTATTTTAATTGGACAATTCTGAAGAAGAAAAAAACTCAGTACCCATTATCTGCACAGGTTTGTATGTATCTGAAAGCATGGCCTTAGTTAGGTTTGTTCTTAGTCTCTTACTTTGTATTTGTCTCCCTCATTTTTGGACTGTAGGAACTGCTTGCTCATTTCTTGTGTTAAAACAGAAACTGGATTATCCACCTGAAACAATTTTTTTAAAAAGGGCATTAAAATTTATTCATTTTAATGCTTTAAACCAAACTATACATTACAAATGACCAATGGTCAATCAAGTAAGCTGTAATCAAACTTGATAGCATTAGGACCAAAATACAAAAACAATGTTACACCTTTTAACACAGAATGCTTCAAAACTGAATGATACCAAAATATACTGTGGTCATACTCAACATTCTACTACAGAACCTATGAGCCCAAGAAGCCTCGTGCTTTTATTTATTTTTTTCAGTGGCCAGAAATGGCTTAGCGTTTTAAACTTGTACTCAAGAACTTAAGTTCAGACCCCCAGAACCTATGTAAAAAGCCACTTAGGAACAGCAGCCAAAATTAACCATAGCATTTAAGGACCGAGACGAAGGATCCCCAGGGCAAGCTGGCTAGGTAGACTAGCAAAAATTGACGAGCTCCAGATTCAGTGAGAAACCCTGACTATTGTCAATAACGTGGCAATCGACTTAGGTTCCCAATGTCAAATTTTGACCCCCACGCACACACAAGCACTCACAAATACATGTAAATGCATACCACAGGCATGCATGCATGTACATGCAAAAAGGAAAAAAAAAAGAAAAGGCTTTCACTTTCATACAGATTACCACTTACTGTCTGAAACATCAAATGACAATATAGGTATACAGCATGTAAATCAGCTCTTGTGCATTCTTATCTGTCCTTACTCGTTATACAACCTTGGGCAACTTAGAGAACCTTTACAATACACACACAAAAAAGTTCAACCCAGTTCTCGATATCAGAACCAAGATGATAACTACTATTTTGTCTCAGCAGTGCTTTAAGATTTCTAATGTTTTTCTAACTATGTGAGGATAATTGAAAAATAACAGAAATTACGAGTTAACATTTGAAGCACAAGTCATTTTAAATAAGTCATAGCTTCAATGAAATTGTGATTAACTACCAAAACGTATAAACTGAAATGGTTTTACATACAAATTTTGCCTAAAAAGATTCAGGATGCTTATTTAATAATAGCTCTGGTGCTACTAATAAAGCAATTTATGATGCTAAAGTAATATCCACAGGTTAATTACACAGAACTAGTATAATCAAAGGAGAAACTGAAATGTTCATAATAACTATTAAAAATGACAACTGTTGGAATTTAAGTAAACTAATTTTTAAAAGACATCCCCTTTATGTAAAATTCTGGTGATTTCTATAGTTTTAAAAATGCTTACAGTTCAATGTTCTGGTGCTCATCTTTAAGATCAGCACATGGGAGGGGAGGCAGAGGCAGGAGGATCTTAGTCTGATCTGAGTTCCAGGCCAGCCAGAGCATACTGAGTCCTCACTTCAAAAAAGAAAGGAAGGAAAAGAGGAAAGAAACAAGAAAAATGTTTTGCAATGCTTTCCTAGAGATCTTACTTATAGATAACTTTTTTGTTTGTTAGTTTTGTTCTTTTGTTTTTCAAGACAGGATTTCCTGTGCAGCCTTGGCTGTCCCAGAACTCTCTCTGTAGACTAGGTTGGCCTCAAACTCACAGATCTGCCTGCCTCTGTCTCCCAAGTCTGAGATTAAAGATGTACTTGAGCCACTACCACCCAGCTATATGACTTCTTGCAAACAAGATCTAGTGTTACTGTCAGATAACTTGCCATCAACCCTGAATCGGCAGCACCACCATAGTTCATTCTTGATTATGAAATTTAACTATGAATCCCCATACTACAAATTTTATACCATTATTAAAATAAATTTTAACAAGGAATTTGACTATGCTAACAAAAACAATGTACTAAAACTATTGAATTAGTCAATTTTAAGGACATTCACTAAAAGCAGAGCACATGTTATCAATTTATTTATGAAGCCATCTTACTTATATGCTTGCCAAAGGCAAAACTCACACCATTAACATGATAGTGTCATTAATTAATCTGAAAAACAAATTTGGCAATTACCTGGATATTAAAATGATCAAGAATTGCAATCAGCTCTTCCTTTCTAGTAGAAACCACAGTGCCTAGTTATGAAAACACAAAGATCAGACTCCTTGTGAAATACAGGGCAAGCGTATAAGTTATCTATAAAACACAAATATTGAGCATCTTTTGTCATGCTAATAAAAAACAAAACAAAACAAAACAATATACAGTTCCAGAGAGACCCAGAGTAGGAAAAAGCCTACATGCAGTAACAGTGCCTATCTCTTCCTATGGCTCTCAGCCTTTATCTTCTTTAGTAACTGAACAGTCCCTTCCACCTTCATGCCCTTTTACCTTTTGCTAGCTCTAAGCTGTAGAAATCAAGGAAAAGAAAATCTACAGTTGAAATTGTGTAACTATTTCCTAATGTTTCATAAGAAATAAACAAACCTTTTTCACTTTTGAGCTTGTAAGATCGACTTCCATCCACACTAATGTGTTGCTGCACAACTATAGAGTCGCCATACACATTTGCCCTAAAGGCATCATCCCCTCTGTTTCTAAGTGTTATGGAGATATCTGCTGAGCTGCAACAAGGAGATTAACCAAAGTTACATGATGGTACAATGCAATTAACACAAGTTTCAAATACCTTAAGTAATCTACCTACTGCTTCTGAAGACTAACTAAGGGTCTTAATCAATCACAGGAATCTGACAAAAATAAAGTTGAGAAGTATCATTGCCGGGTGTGGTGGCACACACCTTTGATCCCAGCACTCTGGAAGGCAGAGGCAGGCGGATCTCTGTGAGTTTGAGGCCAGCCTGGTCTACAAAGGAGCCCAGGACAGCCAAGGCTACACAGAGAAACCCTGTCTCAAGAAACTTAAAAAAACAACAGTTGACTATCGTGTGCATTACAGGAAAACTGTTTTGTAGAAAATACTAAAGTTTTAGTTATTTCAGCTGACAGTAGTGGCTCTTTTAATCCCAGCACTTGGTAGGCAGAGACCATGCATCTCTGTGAGTCAACAGAAAGTTCCAGAACAACCAAGGCTACACAGAGAAACCCTGTCTAGCAAAACCAAAAACAAAAGTTTTGGTTGTTTCAAGTTACATTTTATATAAAACTGACATTACACTACTCAACAACTGTGAATTATATAATCAAGAATGATGACAAGAGGGTCCCTACCCCTATCTCCCACCCATAACCCCTGAAACAAGGTCTCATCATGTAACTCTTGGCTGGCCTGGAACTTGCTACAAAGGCTGCTAATGCTATTCCTCTCTGAAACCTCCATTAGGTCCAGCTGTAAGGCATTTTCTTAATGACTGATAGGGGATGGATGGCTCAGGGAATTCTGGGTGGTGCCATCCTTGGGCTGGTAGTCATGGGTTCTATAAGAAAGCCTGTGCGAGTTATGAAGAGCACTTCCACATTGTAGTCCTTCACTGAAAAAATCAGGGAAGAACTCCAACAGGGCAGGAACCTGGAGGCATAAGCTGACACAGAGGCCATGAAGGGGTGCTGCGTCCAGGCTTGTTCCTTAAGAGCAAGTTTGACTAAATGTGTCTTGTACTGATATGGCTATGAGCATACAGGGCTCAGAGAGTGGAAGAATTTGGTAGGCTGAATGACAATGGCTCCCACAAGTTCATATTTCAAAAGTTGGTCCCCAGCAGGAGGAACTGTTTGGGAAGGATTAGATAGACGGTAAGGCCTTGCTGGAGGAAGTGTGTCTTAAACAACCTGTCTCCTATCTGTTGATCAAGATGTAAGCTCTTAGCCCTTGCTGCCACCACGCCTTTGCTCCACCACTATGGAATCTCACCCTCTGAACCATAAACTAATTAAATGCTTTTTTTTTTTTAATAAATTGCCTTGTCACAGTGTTTTGTCACAGCAGAATAACTAAGATTCACATGTGTGTGTACAAAAATATACATTAGGCAGGCAGTGATGGTGTATCTGCCTCCCTTTGCCTCCCAAGTGCTGGGATTAATGGCATACACCATCACCGCCTGTCATATTTAATACTTTAACACCTCTGCCCAATTAGGGAAGTACTGGGACCCAGGCATAAATTTTTGAGACATGTCTTGACTACAGTCTAAAAACTACTAGCTTACACAACAACTGACTTTCAAGAACAATTGTCTTATGGGGAAAACACAGATATCTTAAAGCACTAAAGCAGAATAACAGCTAATAATAACAACAACAATAATAGTAATTTTTGGAGACCAAGTCTTACTACAAAGCCCTGGTTGACCTGAAATCACCAGCAGTCCAGGCTGGCCTGGAAATGTGGCAAACATCATGCCTCTGCCTCTCCAGCGCCACGTTTACAGGTATGAACCACAATGTAGCTTTACTAACCTTTCTTTAAATAGAGCTAAAAGGACTTCTAAAATGTGTTGCTAGCCAGAACTGGCAATGTATGCCTTTAATCCTTGAGTTTAAGGCCTGCCTGGTTTACAGAGCAAGTTCCAGCCAGCCAGGGCCAAACAGTGAGGCCGTCTAAAAAACAAACAAAACAAACAAAAAAACTCATTAAGAGTTCTTTTCTCTCTTTCCTCTCAGAAGCATTTGACATTGATAAAAAAAATGTCTATGCTTTTTAATGACTCTTATTTTTGCTGAATTGGCCATTCCTTTGATGATTTCAGGTCTATCTTACTTTGTCTACATCTAAAATCTATACAGTTGCCCCATGTCGCTAGTAGCATGGTCTGTCAATCTGGCATGATCATGAGATTGTCCTAAAGAAAACATGTTTAGAGAAGAAGGCCAAGGGAAATATTTGTTGGTGCAGAATCCAAAAAAGACAAATAAAACTAAAAAACATACTGGACAACTGTCTTCAATTAGTTCTCTTCCAAGCCAAGAATGAAAAATTATTTTCTGTGTATCTTTTTTTCTTTTATATCAACTGGGAATCCTGGATTGAGGTTAACATTAAGTTCCTCAGCAGTATGCACATAAGATGATGGAATTCTTCATTTGTATTTTATTCCTACTCTATTTTTAAGCATTAAAATAAAAAAAAATGGATAGAACACCAAACAGAAAGAAATCTGTACCATGTTCTATCATGCACTAGTATTAATTACCAAAATTTCCATCAGCTACATAGTGTAAGAGAATGTAACAAAAGTTGGGCATTAGTATGAAAAACTAAGATCCCTCTGGATGTACCATGGGTAGTGTCAAAAACATAAGGAATGGGAGCTGCTGCTCAGTGACACAGTCCTTGTCTAACAGAAAGGCAAAGAAAGAAAGCAGGAAGAGGGGAGGAGAAAAGACAACACAACCTGACTTTTCAGAAAGAGGGCTGTCAGCGGGCAAAAAGCACCAATCACAATGATATCAAATTAGACAACTGATACAATTATGTGAAGGCCATGTCTGACAGAAATGTGAATATAGCCACACAGGAAGGAACATGCCTATAATTAAAGGGTAGGAAGTTCATAGCCAGCCTTGGCTACATAATAAATTAAAGGACAACCTACATTACAAGGTATCCTATCCTAAAGGGTCCAGACGGTAGACTTGTGACTGAGGTCCTAAAATCACATTCAACGAGTAAAAGAAGCAGAACCAGAGAATAGGGTACTTTTCTAGAATTCTCAGAAAGCCAAAGAAAGAAATTCTGTGCAGAACTTGACCCATTACCAACTTTGCTCTCATCCCTATCATATTAGTGTGACTGGTGATACCTGGTTTTGGCCATAACCCACAAAGGTATAATATTTATAAATACTCATTTAAAGAATACATAAATTTGCTGCTGCCATGTCTTCTATAAAAGTAACAAGTTTAAGTGGGCAGTGAATAGCAACAGGTAATACAAACTATCTGCTCATAAGAAACCAGGAAGCAGAAGGCCATGCTGGCAACAAGGGCAGAACAAAGGACTAATAATGAAACCTCTCCTGTGGAGATAGCCACTTTTTAGGGTTCTAAAGCATGCTTCTTACAAGAGAATAAAAGCATCCAGCCTTAATATGAGGGAGCTGCATATATTGCAACTTGATATGCCATATTTGGCTGCCTTTTCTAAAGGGAAATAAAGGAGTACTGGATCTAAGGGAGAAGAGACAAGCACTGGGGCAGGGGGAGGTGCTAGGAGAAGAGAGGGAGGGGAAACTGTGATAGGGATATAAAATATGAAGGAAGAATTTAAACCAAAAAAAGCTCATGTGAGAAGTACTTACTTCTGTCCAGCCTTCACAAAACCTTTTAAAGAAGATCCTCTATTAGTAGCAACTGCTTTTCCACCAAGACCAACTATGAGAGCAGTGAGTACAGCACTCTTTCCACCTAAAGAAACACATATTGAAAGATCCATAAAGAGAAAATGCTGACTTTATTAAAAAAGATCTCTGAATGTGTTCCAACCTCGAATAATATGTTACAGATTCAGTTATAATTTTCTTCCAGTGCTACGGTGGCAAACTAAGTTACACACCAAGAACTACCTCACTATTACCAGTAGGAAAAGTTTGTCATTTCAGATACTAAATTTTTACACACAATAAATAAAAGAGGAAGAAATATCAATATCATTCTAACCCAAAACTCAGTCTATCATCTTGGTGCATCAAACTACTAAATGAAAACTAATTTATTTACATATGTAAGTAATTTACATAATTTGAAGTTACAGTCAAATTTAATTGTGGCTACTCCTTTCATAAATTTTAGACACAGAAATTTTAAAATAGCTCTCCAGTATAAAGAAATTCCACATGGGGAGGAATGTTGTCATTTCCACTATATGATTCATCTTTGGAATCAGAACATAAACACATTAGAGAAAAATTAAGAAAAAAATCACACATTTTTAATATTTTGACAGCTTTTAATGTAATACTCTACATTTTAATTTCATATTTACAGTTAATTTTTTCATTTGTTATCTTCTACAACATACCACCAAATTAGCCAATTACTTGATTTAGTACTCTCAAGTTCTTACTCTATTTTCTTTACTATTAGGTATGTTTTAGGTAATTCTCTTTTATTAAGTTTTATAAAAGAAATCAAACTTTTATAAAGACACACTTGAAAACCCTTGATTCTTTACTTCTCGTACTCTGCAATCTCCCTGTAATAATGGTCCTTTTCTCTGTTCATGGTGTCCTGCCAAAAGTATCTTCCTTCCTCACAGAATGACCAAGGGCAACAATAATAAATAAAGTGACTGTGGAGCTACACATATATGATTTCCTTGCCTAGTACTGTTACTAGGTGCTAGGCTGCACACTGTCACCCCTGATACCTGGCTTATTTACTGTGGACAGCCACAATGTAGCTGGTCTGTAACAACAATCTTGCCCATTTCAATCTATCACTTAAAACTCTTTAGCTAGTTATCCTCTGACATCTACTTGAAAATCTTTATCAAGCCTTTTAAACTCAATAGTGTTGCATACAATATAACTCTCTAATATCATATCCTCTCCTGCCCCACACACCATGATAAAACATGAGCTAAACCCCATTCTCCATATACATCTATCCTCTGAACATCTGAGAATGACCGAACCATCTGTGCCTAGAACATCTCAGCTTCTTGCTAAATGAGTCTTAAGTAATCTTTAAGCTTCATTTAAGTACCAGCAAAAATAAACCTCCTCATAAAAACATTTCACTGATCGCTACAAGGAATTGTTATTCCCATGCTTGAATTTATAAGGAATTTCATTTGTGTCCTATCTTGTGCTTACACCAGGTTGCTGTGTTGCACCTACTGAGGAAAGAGGGGGCTCCTTTGGGCCAACAGTTTGTGGTGAGCCTGAGCAACATGACTGAGATTTTATCTTAAGAATATGGAAAGGAGAGAAAGGGAGAGAGGGAGGCAGAGAGAGGAAGACAGAGAGGAGGAAGGAAGGAAGGAAGGAAGGAAGGAAGGAAGGAAGGAAGGAAGGGAGGGAGGGAAAGGAAAGAGAGAGAGAAAGAGAAAGAAAGAAAGAAAGAAAGAAAGAAAGAAAGAAAGAAAGAAAGA